ACCAGAGAGACCAGAGAGACCAGAGAGACCAGAGCGAGACCAGAGAGACCAGAGAGACCAGAGAGCGGGAGCGAGACCAGAGAGCGGGAGCGAGACCAGAGAGACCAGAGAGACCAGAGAGACCAGAGAGACCAGAGAGACCAGAGAGACCAGAGAGACCAGAGAGACCAGAGAGCGAGACCAGAGAGCGGGAGCCCATACATGTGGAAACTTGTGATAGACTGTTTTCATGACAAAGTTCCAGTTGTTTGTGGTTTGAAAGTTATGAAACTTCTCCTAATGTGATTAACAATAGTCTATAAATACTGTAGTGGGACTCATGTCTGATCCAGTGGTACTCCTTTTGTAGTTTTGTTACCTCAGGCACCCGGGGTTGTGCCCTCTGGTGGTGCAGTGGTGTATAGCGTGCAGTGATGTTAAGTGCAGGTGTTGAGTGTGTGTGAGCAGAAGACCATCTGTCTTCTGCTCACACACACACTACTGCTGCTGCTGCTGCTGCTGCTGCTGCTGCTGACGAGCTGCGAGGAGACTACCAGAGACGAGGAAATCACAAACCACTGCTCAGTCATTCCCAATATACAACTCAGGACTTCTGACAACAATCATTAAATCATAAACGATAAGATCTGAGGCTGAACTTTGGCCTTCACTGTGTTTAATTATCAAATGGAGACAGATACAGCATTATTCAGATTCAGATTTAGGCTACTTTATTCATCCCACCAGGGGCAATTAAACTTTGAATCCACACTGTTCCTCTACAAAACTGACCTGGAGTGAATCTACAATGACATCCCCCTGCCCCCTCTGTTTAAATGCTCTGTTTTAAACTAGATTACAGTGTGAACATTTTGGCTGACTGTTCCTGTATCTTAAAATCATGGTTTTATCTGTCGCCACAGAATTCTTCATTATCACTATTCATTTCACATAACTTCACATATTCATTACTATAACTCCATCTAACTAGTTCCTCTTTCAAACCAGTTTCAGATCCAGTTAATTTGCCATGTGCAGTAAAAACCACTTTGAGTTTTCACTAGTTTTTGGCTTCTTCTTACACAAAAGATAAAGACTTATTATCATATTATGTTATTTTATATTCACAGTTGTTGTGTTACTGTACACATCTGCAGCTTCAGCCCAATCCTTTTTGGTTGTAATTCAGTCAGTGAATGTAATATCTGTCATTAATCAAATGAACAACCAACCAAAACAACAACCATAATGAACACAGACACTGCTTTAGATCAGTTCTACAGAGGTTCCCCAGTCCCCCTCCCCTGATCCTCAGTCCCAGGACTCAAACAGTTAACGTCCTTTGTAGTTTCCTGCCGTGTTTCCTGGTTCCTTCAGCAGCTGCAGTCGGAGCAGCTTTTCTCAATGACACTCCACACTGCGTTTAAAGCCCTCTCCGAGTGAGCCGCATTTCTCCTGATGAATTACTGCGTTTTGTCCTTGTACCTGATCGTCCCGGGACGACTCTCCAGCACTAGGTAAAATACTGTGTTCTAACAGTGCATCAGTTTCTCCTTTAGCTGCACTGCTACTAATACACGCTTGATCTTATGCCGTTTATCAACTTTTATTTAATATTTTGTTTCATACTGCAAAACATGATGGTTTAAAAATGATATTGGAAAAAGCCTAGGCGTTTGTCCCATTAGTATATGTTCTATTAAAGCTGGAGTCCGTCGTTTTCAAACCTCAAACAATTGAACTATGTCATGAAAATCCTCGTCACTCAAAACCGTTTGATTCTATCATTAGTTTTCACGTGCATGTGTTTATGGTCTGTCACCTCTTTAGATCAGCTTTTTCAGGCTGAAAAGTGAAAAAAGAGAGAGTCCGGAGGGAGAGAGAGTCCAGAGGGATACCTCTTTCTCATCTTTAGATCAGCTTTTTCAGGCTGAAAAGTGAAAAAAGAGAGAGTCCGGAGGGAGAGAGAGTCCAGAGGGATACCTCTTTCTCATCTTTAGATCAGCTTTTTCAGATAGAAAAGTGAAAAAAGAGGAACAGAACAATTGTAGCATATTATTTTTATCTGCGTCACCTCTAAATGTTCTTCTAAAAGGCTGAGCCATGACTTTGCATTTCACCAATTTCCTGAATGAATCACTGCCACTCTCTGTTTTTAACTTTGATTCATCGCCCGTCTTGGTCCTTCGTTTCCAAACTTGTTTTTCCTCTTTTTTGCCTGCAGCTCGGGCAGACCACAGTTCAGTGATTTGAGTCTTGTGTCTCAGTTTCTCTCTCGAGTCTCTCCTAGGTCTCTCTCTGGTCACCCTCTCTCCCTCTCTCCCTGGTCTCCCTCTGGTCTCTCTCTGCCCCTCTGTATGTTTTTGGCTGCTGTAACTTAGTGGGCAGGAATGCGTCTGCTAAGTCCATCTTGGTTCCGTGGTTTTGCAGCTGCAGTAAAAACATGCACTTCCTGGATCGGCTCAAACAGCTGTTGGCTTCATCTAATTATCCAGAAAGATGAGACGACCTCAGCGTTTTCAACCAGACTCATGTTTTCACTTAAAGGAGACGTACGATGAGCTTTGAACCATGTTACATGATTGTTTCTCATCAAAAACAGACCAAGATATTTATAATTCTTTTGAAATAGTCCCTTTAAAGCTCGAGAACCCAACTTTCAACCCACAAACAAATGGAGCCTAATGACCCCAAATCCACGTCACTAGTTCCTCGCCCTCAAGTCACATTTCTACCGAGTTACTGGTAAAATGTGGGGGGTGGAACTTCTACAGGAACCGTCTCTACTGCAGAGTAGGACCTCTCGGTGACGTCATGAGTTTCGATTGCCGCATAAGCCAAACCCATTACGCCAAACCCATTTATTTATTTTACAGTCGGAATCTCTCCGGTTGTTGTGGTCTTTAAGTTTTTTATTGTTTTGCTTCAGTTTTTAAAAACTTTCCTTGGCATCGTTTTGGAGTGTGATGAATCCCCAGTGCTTTGAGGTTCCCTGACATGAATCAATGCCTGCATCTCATCATCTGTCCATTTATCGTACGTCTTGCTGTTGTTTGCTGTTTTCAGTGGTGTCTGCTTGTGCTGCTAGATGTTTTTTTTTTAAATGCCGGTTGTTTAGGTGCTTTCTGGTGGCGTCAGAGACTGCTCTAGCTTTAGCAATAAGCGCTGGGTTAACCTCAAGCCCAAGGAGCTGTACCTCCTCCATGCTAGGTACGGTACTTCGTTGGGCCCCTGTAAATGGCCCTGTGGGGAAGGTTCCTGCAGTGGAGATACACACCAATGGGGGTGGCCCTGTAAAATTATCCCCGAAGTTCCCGCGGTGGAAAAGCAGCTATTCTTTCACATCTAAGATAAGCTAAGATAAGATAAACTTAATTGTCCCAAGGGAAATTTGCTGTAGGATGCAGTGCTACACAGATCTGCATGAATGAATAAAAAATAAAAAGGAACCTTACAGGAAAGGCCGCCGGCGCTGGAACGCTGACGCCTTGCGCACCAGACACACATTCTCTAATTTTCAGACGCAGGGGTGTTCAGACCAGGAGGTCTGGCCTGCAGTCCGTGCGTCTCTACCGCGCAGTCCGTGCATGCATCCCGAGACGTACATGCAGTTCCACGCACAAACGCGCTTCACCATTGACTTTGCATTGAAATTCTGAATGATCTGGTCTGAACGCGGCTTTACAAAGCTTTCAATATTAGTTATTTTTGTTTTTAAAGTTCCACTGAAGTTGGGACAAAGGAGAGCTTGAAGCGATTTGTCCTGTGTCTCAGCCCTAAAGCGACGTTCTGACGGTAGGGTCTGGTACTTTCCATGCAGGACATGTTGGGGGTCACTGACATCTTTTTCAGCCAGTGAGAGTGTGGTCTGCTTGTATTGACCCCTTGCATGTGACGTCCCGGCCACGCCCACTCTCCATGACAGACGGCAGAAGTCTAACTGGAGCCTACGGACACCTGACCAAAACAACCTGTTTCAGCGCATTAAAGCCAAAACTGTGACATTTTGCAGTGCGGTTGATTATACTAACAGGCAAGGACATAAGCTTTTTTATCTGATACCTGCTCGTCATGAAGACAGGAGACGACGATGGCGGCAATCAACCAAAAGGACTGGGAGCCATCCAAGCACTCCCTAATATGCAGTGAACACTTTTTACAAGATAAAGCAATCACAAGTTTGTATTTATATTATTTCCATTAATTTGGAGGACAATGACACACGTCAATCGTGTCTCTTACTACTGTCCTGTATGTGCGCTGCAACATCAAGTCAATTGCAACAAGTCAATTGCGTGTTTCACTATTTTCCTCTCCATCAGTATGTATCATGTTTGGCTGCAGACAGAAAAGCCACAGAAAAGTGGACTATTGCTAATGCTACCAGCAAAATGTACATATAAACCTGCTCCAGTGTAAGGGGATGCATTGTTAACGATAATGATAAAGATCATGTAGGGTGAATTTGGGCAAAAATAGACATTTTATTTAATCGATAAAATTGACTGGGGGGAGAAGGTACGGGTCAACATCCAGTTAGGCAATCCTTAACTTCTCCAAATACCACTCTTTGTGAGCCCTGACCTGATGTCGTACTTCCACCTATAACGTAATCGAACATGTGCTTGAAGCAGCCACTTCTCGATTTAGGAGAGGAAGCTCCGTTTTTAAGAGTTGTGTCCGTTTTGCTCTCGCAGCAATGCTAGTTTCCAATACTTCCGCCGTAAGCTCATTCACAATCACGTGACTGGATGACGTTAATGCATCTGGTCAATATCTCTCTCAGGGCTCTCTCTCTCCCTCAGGTCTGTCTCTGGTCTCTCTCTCTTGTCTCTCTTGCTCCTCTGTCGAGTCCCTCTCTCTCGCTCTCTCTCTCTCTCTCGCTCTTTCTCTCGCTCTCTCTGGTTTCTCTCTCTGAAGTTCCTGATATTAGCGTAGATGGAAGGACCCAGTGCAGAGACTACTGACTCTGACTCCGACCAGATTTCTTTCCCTCGTAACGCGCCATAATGTCATTGCAGACCTTCGATGGCTCGTCCTCTCTGCGCTCCGGGAATCTGAGTGCTCTGATGAAGCGCTGGGAGCAGGGAGGGACCAGCACCAGGGCCCCAGCGGCGTCCAGACCTACAGCCATCCCAGAGAACCCTCCATCCAGGTCCCAGGACACGATTGCCCCTAGGACCACCGGAGGCACCAGCACCAGGGCTCCGGCGGCGTCCAGACCTCCAGCCATCCCAGAGAACCCACCACCATCCAACACTAGGATACAGGACAAGTCTGCCACCAGGACTCCCAAGACCCCAGACACGACCGGTCTGATCCAGGACCAGCCCAAGGCCCTCATCACGCGACAGAACTCCTCCTCAGCTGAAGCCAAACCAAAGAACGAGGAGCAGCGACCTGAGGTAATTTTCTGTACCAGATCCTCAAAGGTGACATGATGAATTCTATTACATTGTAGTTTATGAATTAGTGGCGCCACCTGCAGGTCAAAACCAGATCCCGTCAGAATCTAAGCAGGACCTGGTTATTATTGTGAAGGGAGACCAATGGGAACACCAGGTGCCACAGTGGGGCAGCTGCGACAGTAAAGTGCCAAACTGATGTTGCACCTTTTAGGAAAGAGACATTTCCAGTCTGGTGTGTGCATGAATGATGCTGGTCATCGGAGAGGCACATACTCTCTCTGGTCCCTCCCTTGTCTCACTCCCTGGTCTCTCTCTCTGGTCTCTTTCTGGTCTCTCTCTCTGGTCTCTTTCTGGTCTCTCTCTCTGGTTCCTTTCTGGTCTCTCTCTGATCGCAAAATTGCCCATTCTTCTTGGCAAAAAGCCTCTAGTTAATGTAAATTCCTGGCCTGCTTTGCATGAACTGCACGTTTGAGGTGCAAATAGAAAAGTTCATAACTAATTTACCAATGTACGCTTTGTGAATGGAACAAAACTTTAAGATTTCTATGTAGTTACACCTCTTGTGGTCATAACAAACGAATGTGTTGTAGAAGCTGACGATGGAGCGCGTCAAGAGGACAATCAGCGAGGACCAGTCGGAAGACCAGGTCCCCCTCAGCCCCCGGTCGGCCTACGAGAAACCCAGAGTGCCCCTGACCAGCCTCAAGATGAAGTTTGAGAGAGCTGAGGAGCCGGCGGCCAAGGTACAAGTGTGTGTGTGTGTGTGTGAGAATGACCACAATAATGAATCAGGGACAGAGTAAGTAAGAAATCTTTATTTATATAGCACCTTTCACAGACCAGAGTCACAAAGAGCTTTACATTTGTGGGCATTTGTCACTCACTCCACACAGAGAGGGTTGGGGGCAGAGAGTCTCTCTGGTCTCTCTCTCTCTCTCGCTCTTGCTCTCGCGCTCGCTCTCTCTCTCTCTGGCTTACTCTCTCTGCATAAATCGCTCTGATAAACAATAAATAACTTAGGAAAACTACTATTACATGGACGAACACTGCAAAAAGTCCGTGACGATTACAAGGACACATTCATGAAGAGATTTCCCAAGATTTAGTCATTTGTGGAAACGTGAGAAAGCACAAGTCTGAACGGCTCTCCTACATTTGAATATCAACGTGTTCTTTCCCACAGGGTTAGTTCAGTTTATTTATTTACATTTCAGACAATTCTGACAATTACAGGCATTTAGTGACAAGATAGTGACAAGATAGTTTTAAACTTAAAGGTATATAGGAGGATTTTCCAGAATTTTTGGAAAGAACCGCCCTCCTCAGAGGGAGCGTCTATTGTAACGTGTCTCGGCATATCACCAGAATGATTGACAATTACGAGGACCAATAGTTTAGATGATCCATCCTCCCATATACCCTTTAAACAGCTGCCACAGGCAAATCACAATAGGACATTTATGATAATTTTCTGCTTTCAGCTTCACAATCAACTCGTGTTTGGATGCAAAGTCTTAGTGTTGTAAAGTTATTTTTAAATCTACAGCCCACTCATAGACTTTTCCCCCAACAACAGAAATGATGGATTTTGACATTGTGCTTTTTGAAACACCTCTTTCCGTCTCAGCAGATTTATTTTGGTTTGATTTTTTCCTCTTGTTTTTCAGGCCGGCCGCTCCGCTCTGCGCAGCTCTTCCTCCGATGACATGAACCACAGCGGTAAACACTTACAATACCAAAGACCAGGGAAACAATTTAGTTTCTTTGTATCCTGTGGCTTTTCTAGTTCTATTGTATGTTATGGATGAGTTTAGAAGTTTGAGTATTTCTCATCTCAAAAGTGGCACTGAACCTCATCAGCAAAGTCTGCAATAGCTGTTATCAAAAGAGCTGTTTCGCATCCTTTTCAGTCCAATGGTCCGGAGCCGCAACATTTAATACAACTTATAAACGCCCAAGGTTGTATGATTTTTTCCAATTACAATAAAAACAACCACATATCAATATAGTTGATGTAACTTAGATATTTTAAGTCCAGCTTTAAGTTAAGTTCTAACATGTTCCTGACTCTAAAACAGTTTTTTTTAAATTTTCAGACAGAAAAGTAAAAGAGAGAGGATCACCCTCACTCAATCAGCCAATCAGCTCCCAGACTTCCAGGGCTTTTAACAAGTGTGCAAACTACAACATTTTACTTTTGCACTTCTCTTTCTGTTGGGACAAATGTAATATTTATGAAAGAAAAAAAGTTGGGTACCTCAGCTTTAATTATAGGAGCTTTGTTTATTTCAGTGCGCCCTCTCGGCAGCAACACCGGTGTTTTCTGCTCATTTGGTCACTTGTATCGATCACATTTAAAGTCCTCACACCGCAGCGTCAGGTCTGAGACTGGAGCGGAATTAAGCGTTGTGGATGTAATGCACCAAACCAGAGGACGTAAATCAGACAAAAAACAGACTTCTGCAATGGCCACATTTGTAAAGCGCTTTATGTGTAAGATTACTTTCTTACAAGAGTACATATCCATACGAATAGTGTGAATCTTGTGAAATCCTGGTACCTGAGATCTTGTCCCATCTCTCCTAATCACATTTGCACCAGAGACATGAGCTGATGCTTTTGTGTTGAACAGGGGACTCCTCTAATCTGAGGGAGAAGATGGCCAAGTACCAAGCAGCCGTCTCCAAACAAGGACCAAAGCAAACGGTGAGCAGGACTTTTCCACTTTAGAGCTTTAACGCAGACCTGACAAAGTACTGCCCGATTCGCAAAAACGGGACAAAAAACCCCAGGCTGCTTTTGCGATGCCTCCTGGTCCTTCCCTTTCTCTGGACTCTCCCTCTTATCTCTCTCAAGTCTCTCTCTAATCTCTCTGGTCTCTCCCTGGGTTTTATTTTGAAATTTGTTTTGAACAGTCTATACAAATCCAAAAAACATGCTAACCGTTCCCACTGTTGTCCCCAAAGTCAGAAAAACGTTGTGGACCAAATAAAAGCCATTTCACGATTCGGGGTCAGAAAAACACTAAAAGCATCATAAAAACGTCTCTATTCAGTCAGTCTATCTTGAGTGCTAGCCCATGTTGCACAGTAGAAAATGGCTTAACATGACTAATCTCCGGTGTGTAAACATTATGAGACTTAGCTGCTTAACTGTTGCCTTCTCATTGTACACGGCTGATTTATGTTCATTATCTGGACTAGATGACCTCAGCCTCATTGTCCCGCTCCGGTCCGGCTTTAATCTCTTCCTTCCGGCAGCTTCCTAAAATAGAAACCTAACTCAACGTAACTTTATGTCATGTTATTTTGCCTTCTTTATCTTTGTGCTTCGGATCAGGGCTCGTCCACAGAAACCGCAGCGGCTCCGAAAACATCTGCTCCAAAGCTCCACCCGAACTCTGAATGCAACGGGGGAAAGATCAACGGTCAGTCCCGGTTTACTGGAAAGAATCTGAGGCTGGAGTGGGTTTATGTGAGGGAGAGGTGAGGGAGAGGTGAAGGAGATCAGGAAGGAAGGAAGGAACGAGAAGAACCAGGTCCAAGCTGAGAACAAGTCCTGAAAATAGTGAGAAGCCAGTTCAAAGGTGGACAGAACATGCAAATAGACTTTTCTCAGATTCTCCCCATGGTCTGGCCGCTTTCTCTTGTTTTTAGAGCTATTCTTGTCTGTGGCTTGCATAAAGTACTATGGACTTTTGCACATTTTCTCATGTTTGCGACCACAACGATTGTATTTGTGGAGTTAAAGACCACAACAAAATAACAGACTAGCGAAAGCAAAAAAAGTGAGGTTAGCATAAGTGGCCAAACCGCACGTTCTTATTTCGTGGAACCCTGTTTTTCTGCAATCAGTCTTTTTTGGGATATGAGGGCTGTGTACTTCTACAAATGGAAAGTTTTGCCCATTTGTCTTTACAAAACAACTCGCGATGAGATGGAAAGCGTTTGTGATCCGCAGTTTCCACAGGTTGTCACTTGGATTTAGGTCTGGACATTAGGAGTGAACTGACCGAGTGTGACATCACCGTAGTGTTAGCTTCTGTGAATATGTGTAAATGATCTTGATAACTCTGTTTCAGGTGATGTGAGTGAGGCTCCTAAAGCTGCCAAAGTGAGTCACGCCTCTTCTATTTCTCCTTTAGAAAACATTACGAACAGAAACTCTTTCCTCATACGGTTTATTGTATATTCTATAAAATGCATTGGTTTTATATAGCGCTTGTTTGGATGTGTGGTGATAAACTACTACTGTAGCCACAGCTGCCCTGGGGCACACTGACAGAAGCAAAGCAAGCAGTATGTGCTATTGTCCCCTCCGACCACCACCATTCACACACATCAGATTCATTCTAGGCCAATGGGGGTCAAACCGGGCCTCAAAGGGCCGGTGCGACTGCAGGTCTTAGCTCCAACCTGAGCATTAGCAACACCAGACTCCTCCCATTTTTTCAGTGAGTCTAGTTTTAACTTGACGATTTGAGGAAATGGGCGGAGTCTGGTGTGCTCCCCTGTTCTTGTTTTCTGTTTTCTGCTTTCTGTTTTAAAACTAAAGCTTTGCCTCAGAATGAGAGTTGGGGAAGGTTTCTTTTTGTTCACAACCTTTGACTCTTAAAGTGATTGTCTGCATTTTGTCAGAAAGAGAGACAGAGAGGTACTTGATTTGAAAAAAACGATGCAAGCTCCCTCCCCCTTCCTTTCTGATTGGTCTACACCTACGTGTCCGTATCACATTTTAATGTTAATGGGAGAACACATTATACATAAACATTATTAATACACATGCACGGAGGTTTTCAGAATTATTTGTTAATGTTCTCATGACAAAAATAATGTTTTAATGCACAAAAAAAGCGATTGCGGCAAACCCGGACATGCTATTATCATGAATTGCACATTATAGGACACATCTGCAGAGGATCTGATTATGGATATAGGTTCAGTATATAAATTATTATGGATATAGGTTCAGTATATAAATGATTATGGATATAGGTTCAGTGTATAAATGATTATGGATATAGGTTCAGTATATAAATTATTATGGATATAGGTTCAGTATATAAATTATTATGGATATAGGTTCAGTATATAAATTATTATGGATATAGGTTCAGTATATAAATGATTATGGATATAGGTTCAGTATATAAATGATTATGGATATAGGTTCAGTATATAAATGATTATGGATATAGGTTCAGAATATACATGAGTACCTCAGCGCGGATGTTCAGAATTCTTTGTTCAGTTTTCATGTAGTTCCAGAGCCTAATGGAGGCTTGATTCGGAGGCTCCGCAAAAACAAACAACAGGGCATGCGCGCAGCTACGAGTATCAGCGCTGATGATTGACAGCCCTTGGCATTACTCGATTGGTTAACGTGGACGGCATTGTGGATTCTAAGCTATAGCTAAGAGCAGGGAAGGCGGGACTTGTCCGTAATATTAGAATTAATAAAATGACTTAATTTATATCAACATTTAAGGCCAGGAGGTCAATTTAATACAATTCTTAAAATGTGTAATTAATTTAGAGTTACTTTAAGCCTCTTTCTGCTGACAGATTCTGACCGAAACATGTGATATTTGTGGTTGCCAGTTCTGCGCCCCGACCCGCGAGACGTGCTACGCCTGTGTGAAGACGGTGTACCCTCTGGAGCGCCTCGCCGTCCTGCACAACGTCTACCACAAGAGCTGCTTCAGATGTGTGCACTGCAACGCCTGCCTCAGGTCTGAACTGACGCCCTCACCTATGACCAGGGGGAGACAGGAGGGGGGAGACAGGAGGGGGGAGACAGGAGGGGAGAGACAGGAGGGGAGAGACAGGAGGGGAGAGACAGGAGGGGAGAGACAGGAGGGGAGAGACAGGAGGGGAGAGACAGGAGGGGAGAGACAGGAGGGGAGAGACAGGAGGAGGAGGAGGGAGAGACAAGAAGAGGAGGGAGAGATCAATGCAATACAAGAGACGGGAGGAGAGAGAAACTATGGGAAGAGAGAGACAAAACGAGGAGAGAGAGACTAGAGGAGAAATATTTAAATAAGGCAGTGTAGGAGCTTGTGTTTTTTCACTTTTATCTTGTGTTAGACGAGATCCCCTTCATTAGTCCATCTCTGGGTCAAGGGGCTTGCACTCAAAGCTGCCACTCAACAATGTCACAGCCTTGGCAGGATTAAGTGTCTTGCCCAGGGACACAACGACAGCAGATGTCAGTGGGAGTAGGTAGAGTAGGTCTCATGGGGGGGTATGAACCCCCAATAATTAGGCCCGAAGACTAATGCTCTACCAACTGAGCCACTCCAGAGAAGACTGTGTTTCTGATATTGTTAAACTCATCATTGCTCGTATTATCTGCAGTAGTTTGATGGAAGGTTTTGTCAGATGCTGATGCGTGACTGGCCATGAACAAGCTCTCGTCTGGCATTTGTCAACAACAGCAAAGAAAATAGTTTTATTCTAAATACATTTTAACCTTGAACTAGACTTTCCGCCAGCAAAACTCTCCGTGCTCACCTCCTCTTCGGCGCACGGCTGTGTCCACTAATTAAAAGGTTGTAACTGTGTCTCTTGTGTCCAGTCTCGGGAACTACGCATCTCTGCACGGAAACGTCTACTGCAAGCCACACTTCAACCAGCTCTTCAAGGCCAAAGGGAACTACGACGAGGGCTTCGGACACCGGCCCCATAAGGAGTTGTGGGAGCCCAAAGCAGAGGACGAGAAGGAAGACGAGAAAGAATCCCAGAAGGAGGCCCCGAAGGAGGCCAAATCAGCGCAGGCCGACACTTCAAAACCAGCCGCCAGTTCAATAACCGAGACTTCAAAATCGTCGGTCAATCATGAAATGTCAACCCAAGACCCCAGCCCAGCTGTGGAGGAGGCTCCCATCGCCAAAGTCACAGACCTAACTCAACAATTGGAGAAAAAGCCTCAAGAAAAGACGTCAGAAAAGCCAATCCCGAGCCGCAGATTGCACGTCGCCTGGCCTCCCCAGGGAGAAGGTGACGGCTCCAACCCTGTGAAGGAGGATGGGGTTTCGCTGGGCAAGAATTTCAAGAAATGGCCGCCAGAAGACGAGCCGATTTCGTCTTTCCAGAGCACGGAACGAGCAGAGCTGAAGAGCCTACGCAGGAGTTCCTCGCTGAAGGAGCGCAGCCGGCCATTTACCCTCATGAAAAGCTCAGAATCAGCTTCAGGAGCGAGTTTGAGGCAGCCGCGGCGACCGCTCAAGACCCTGCAGGAGTGGAGGGCATCGCTGGAGGAGAGGCAGTCTGAGGAAGTGGAGGAGGGCAAGAAGAGGGAGGAGAAAGCAGACGAGGGATTGGAGACGGTGGTGGAGAAGCAGGAGGAGAAGAAGAAGGTCGAAGTGGAGGTTTCCCAAAGCCAGGAGGAGGTTTCCCAAAGCCAGGAGGAGGAGCCGGAGCTGAGTGCAGAGGACATCATCAAGAGGAACCGCTGCTACGACGACGAGTACGAGGACGACGACATGGTTTAATTAAAAGTTTAGTCATTCAAACCAAAAAAGGATTTTTTTTAAAGGGCAAGTGACCGGTTGGACTTGGTGTGTCAAACTCTGGACTATTTTAATCCAATTCAATGCATTTGTGTATTTCCCTAAATCACAGCAGCATCGTCTGTGAGGGAGCGGGATGACCACTGTCCAGAAATGTTAATGTTAATATATGTCCCAGACAAAGTTGGCAGGGTCGGAATCAGTCAATTAAAGGGGGGAAAAGTGAGAAAGGTTGTGGAGAACCTCAATAAGAGAGGGATCCACTCTGAGGACGAACAGGCTGTGATCCTGGGCTGAAGCTTCATATCCAGGAGTTGTATTAAATCGTGCTATGTTATAATATTTAAAAAAAAACAAATGCACTTCCAGTTCAGAGCTCCTGATCGTCTTGTTCCACTTTATCCAAATGTTTTGTAACTAAAACATTCTTTCACTCAATTGTTCATGATAAACCAAACACAACAAAAGTCAAATCACAAATCAACCTTGATCTCGATATTGTCGTAAAGCGCTTCGTCCGACCTGTCACCTGCACATCATTCTAATTATCTAATTGATCAAAGTACAAAGCGACAAAATGTGTAAATATTAGCATTACATTGTAAATGTAAAGGACCAAAAAGCACAATTCTACTTGATCAACATCACCCTGTTCATAATCGTACGTCCAGAAAGTTTGGGGAAAACTGGAGTGAAAAATTAAAATATTTCCATCTTCTGTCCTCCTCTTCAGGGGGACTATTGTTTTATGTATAATGCTTTTCTGATGCCTGGGAAATAATGCCTTCGTTTGCTAATATATACATTTGATATTCTTTTTAAATACATAGCTTTTATACACGTGGATCAGGACTCTGCTTTGATGATTTTGTTTTTTAAAAAGCCATTCGGAGCCATTAAGTCTCAAGCTTTTAAGTTTTGCCTGTGTCTTTGTAGATGTGTTTTTCACACAATCATAATTGAAAGTCTTCGTTGTCTTTCTGTAGGCGGGGCTTACAGAAGGGCTGGCGGTCATCTTAACTAATGGAAACTATTTCAACTTAAAGGGGACGTACCATGCCAACTCCACTTTTCTGGGCTTTTGTCTCTGTGGGATGTTTTCATAGGTCTTTTACACACAATAGTTTAACATTTCTCCTCCAGCTCATCTTTCTGATTGTAGTTATGCCGGGGGGGTTAAGTATATTGTTGAAAATACCTTACATTCTAGTGCAGAAACATATACATAAACTGATGTTGTTGACATCACCTGTAACAGCATTTTGTGCTTTTATGCCAAAAGTTAAAAGTGTATTGTGTCAGTGAGTTGCAAAAAGGATTTTACTAAAACACCAAAGTACCAGACAACTGTGAAGGGAAATCAAAAGCCGCTGTAGCACGTCGTATTGAGCACTTTAGCGGTTCTTTGTGCGCTAACCTGGTCTGAGCGGAGCCTGCAAGGCCTTTGAGGTGACAGTCAGTGATGTGGCACAGAGTGATGTGGCCGACTTTCCTTACATAGTATTTAATAATACTTAAAGAGCGACTAAACACCTGGGCCCAGCCTTACTCCGCCCACATGAAGATTTGAAAATTTTCTCTAAAAAGGGCGTTACCTGGAGGACTAAGGGACAAGAAGGGGGGCTTAGAGTTGGGCGTGGTCTGGGCTGTGATTGACAGCTGACTTGTCACACACACAAAAAACAGACAGTTGTCATTGCTGCTTAAAGCAATAGTTTACAGACCAGAAAGTCTCATTCCACCCTTGTTTACACACTAAGATAATTGTAAAGCTACACACCTGAACCTAATCACACTCAATAATCTCAGAATGACTCATGTAATTTAATTTTAATCCACTAGATGGCGCCAGAATACTCCAAAATGCAGCTGGGGCGTGTGTGTGAGTTGAATGGGTTCACATCACTGGCTCTGACAGACTGACGTCACACAAAACAACTGATGTCATAGAGAACTTCAGAGTCAATGGAGAGGCCAGGACCAAATTCAAATGTAGTACCACCAAAAAGGTTGAGAGGGCACCACACATTTTTTTTTTGGCTCAAAAGTGATATTTTATCTAATTTGAACTAAAATGTCAAAGAAATGACCAGGATATGTAGACAGCACTACAATAAACATACTTAGTTTATGAGTTAAAAAAAGTTGATTTGGTGTTTAGTCGCTCTTTAAGTTTAAGGCTCATGGTACGTCCCCTTTAAGTTCCGCTGGCAGTGAAACAAAAGCAAAGTTAAAGTGCTAAAGCCACTTTTTTTGTGTGAAATTTAATTAATTATGGTCCAATTGTTTTTTTTAAGATGTGACGTTTGACATGAGTTAAGGCCAAGTTTTGTGTAGAATTGTTTTTCTGAACGGTTTTGTTGCTGTGTTTGGACGCTTCCTCACTGCTTTGTTCAGGTGATTTTGTTTCAGATGGTGATGTTTCAGGTGAAGTTTGATTTCCTTCTTGTTCTAAATCTTCATGTTTCAGCGAATGCCTTTGCACTGCTGCACAATCCTTTTTTATCACTTTTTACTGGAGAAATAACTGGAAACATTAAATAATATAAGAAAATGTCTTTGTCAGCGTTTTATATTTGTGTCTGAAATGGGCTGTTAACTCAAATGTGTTTGTGTATTGCCCTAAATCACAACAGCAGTCGTTTTGAAAGACTCGCCGGCAACAGATCAAACAGTTCAAACACAGGAAATGCTCTAATAACCACATGGGAGCCATTGGTCCATACGGAGCGGGATGAGCACTTACCAAAAATGTCAATAAAATGTTCTGCATCAGCAGGAACCCCTCAAAAGGCTGTGGATTAGTGGTCTACATACAGGCCATTTGCAGCCTGAAAAAAGGTGTTGTCAGTGCTGCACCCCACTGAGTCGGGGCTAATCTGACATATTTTACATAATTTTTAAGTTAATTTTATCGAGAAAACCAACCACTCCATTTAAATTACCATAAACGGTAAACCATGAATGCAATAAGCAAGAATTAACAGTAACATTCAGCCGCTGTGGCCTTCGTTTCCACCAGCCCGGCTTGAGCAGAGTAGAGCAGAGCAAGGCTGGCTTTATGCAGTATATAAAATACATTAGTGTTTAACATGTACACAACAGCAAGTCACATGACACATTCACTTTATTGTATTGCACAACCCTGTTAAAAAAAAATCTACAGAAATGTACAAATGAAATCTGCAAAAGGAAGTCCCACCTGGACCAGGTTAAACCACGTGTGACCAGAGGACAAAAGAAGTTTATAATTCAAACAAAGAACAGGATTTCAAAACAAAGTGCTGGAATTTAATGTTTAATTTATGTTCAGGTGGAAGATTCCCGTTAGATTAAGGGGCCATGTGTGTATGATCAAGTGTGACATCACCATAGGGCTGATTTGAACACAAGCTAGAAGTCAATTTCCTTATATGGGAATTTGTTCCGACGGCGATAGCGTCAAGGTGTAACAGGGGCAGATATGTTGCTAAGATGGTCGCTAAGGCAAGCTGGAGTTTCCCTCTCGAATGAAGGCATCTGATTGGTCAATCCTTATATGGCTCAAACCTGGATTTACAAAGACAATATAAACACCCGGATCACAGTGAGCGCTAAACTATAGATTTTAAAGACCCAAAATGGTGTGAGTGACAGAAACGGTTACTGAGCTAGATGAGTTGACTTTTTCAGGTAAATCAATAAGAACCAGAGTGAAATGGGCTTCATTGAGCTAGCTAGTTAGCATTGACCATGGATATACAATCTACAATATTATTCCAGCTCAAAGAGTACCAGTATGATGGAAAAAAACGCCAAATATATGAATATAAGCGTAAAAATGAATAGAAAGTGAAAGATAGGGGCTTTTCTCAGAGGCACAGTGGCTTCAGTGCATTAACTCCACACGACCAGCAGGTGGCGGAAAAAACACCCGAATGGCACGTGTGAACAGGAAGCAGCGATTGGCTTTTCGCAGCAAATGTCTAAAACTAATTTTTGATTATTTTGGTTACCGTTTCATACATTCATCCGCATTCAGAGGAAGAGGACTGCACAGTAAACTAACAACAGGAACTTATCTAAAAACAAAGATCATGCCATTATTGATCATCACTGCAGCTGTCGTCCTGCAGTTCCACAGAAAATTAAAACGGTGTAAATCTCTTCTACCATCTTTCATAAAAGTCATTAAAGCTGGGGTGCATCACTAAAGATACAATATAATAAAATCTAAAACAATTTGCCAGGATAATACATTGACGTGTATTATTAACCTCTTTCTCTTTTCTGTCAAAAAAATGTGAGCCCCATTTCCACCAGCCCCATTTGACCCTACTCTCGTATCCTGGCAATCTACAGACAATAAACCAATATCCATGGAAATTCCTTGGCAACCATGGCTTCCAGAAGGACTCTGGAACCAGGACCAAGAGGGACTAAAGAAGGATTTGGTACTAGTTATACCGGAGTAGAGTATCGCCAAGTAGAGCTGGTGGAAATGGGGCTAAAGATGACTTTCTGTTGGGACAAACACGATGCTGGCCAGAATACTCTCTCAAGTCTGTCTCTGGTTTGTTCCTCTATCAATCTTTTAAAATGCTGCCAATCAGCAAACAGCAGGCGTGACGATGGCTGTGAGTCAGGAAAGTTGCAGTCCAAATAGTAACCATGGCGACAGGTCCGATTCACGCAGATAAAGAAGATTTTTTCTGCTTATTTTTGATAATTTCTCTTGACCAGGAGTGTCAAAACATGTACCAAAGGGGTGTGGCTGCAGGTTTTCACTCCAACCAAGCAGGAGGACTCCAGTGAGTCCAGTCTTAACCTGGTCTGGTGTGCTCCTGCTTGGTTGGAGTGAAACCCTGCCGCCACACCATTCTGTCGAGGACCGCTTTGACACCCCTGCTCTTACAGTGTTCCGAACAGCAGCATCTCATTGATCCAGTTCCTGTTCTCGTTTAGTGTGCAGCCCGACATTAAGACAGTTTGATTAAAGCAAGTTTGGATTCAAGCGTTCTGCAGCAGCTCGAGCCGCTGTGTAAAGCAGTTCTCCACAACAAGGCTTCGGGCTCACACACGTCGCCTCTGCAGGGAACGTTCCTTTGTGTTTGCATGTTTTGTATGTGTATGCAAGTCTATATTGATACCCCTCACCCCTAGCCTCATTTTGGCTTGTGCATAAAAGTCAGACAAATAAAAATGTTTTTTTCTCATTTAAAAACACACACTTTACAAACCACGATTGCGTGTCCCGTACTTTCTGGACTATTAGGCACACCTGTATATAAACCGCACCTGCAACATTAAAATAAACTATATTTTTCCACAATAAACTGCAGATTTTCATGTAGCAGATAGACTGTTTTGACTGGACACAACTAATGATTAACTTAACCATTAGCTTCCTTGACTCATTCACCAGTCTATTTTGACAATAAACTAGTGTCCTTTAGCTACTAAAACTAGATGGACCAGATTGTTGGTTACGTGGGGCTATTTAGCAATTGCATTAGCTAGCGATGACAGTGCACTACAAGTTATCGACTGAGGTATGCCACAAAATGAACTCTGGTGAAGGTACACGTCTCAGTGACCAGTGTGCGGATCAATGAGACATTCAAAAATAAACTTGTTTTTTTTTTTCATCGTCTCCTTCATATTCAGTCATTAAGGCTTGAATATTATACGACATATGTTGGTCAGTATTTGGTTGGCGACAGCTGAAACTAACCCTAACGTGTCAGACCTCCATTTTACAAACTGTGCCAATCGTACCAAAGCATTTCTATCAAACACGTTTTGATAGTTTCGTGGTGAAGACTTCCCCTCACTGTCGTCGTTACAGCGGGCCAATCAGAAGCAGGCACTGGCGCTCCTCTGTTTTCATTGGTGAAAGGCGTGAGTTTCCCTTCGATCACGTTTTAGAGACAGTGGAGTAAAGGGAGTGAGAGCAGAGGAAAACAGAGGGACGTACGAGAGACAGACACAGACCATCCAGACACAGGAAGAACATGCAAACCCCACACTAAAGGCCCATGATGGGGACTTATAAATCTGGTCTCACTGTCTCTCCTCTCTGGTATGTTTAAGAGATGATTTAATGTGTTTTGAGTTTGATGCACAAGCTCAGTCATGTGGCGGGTATAAGGCGTGTGTGTGTATTTGTGTGTACATAAGTGTATTTTAAGTGTGTGTCCGTCCGCTCAGCCGCTGAGAGGGTGCAGGTCCACTCGCACTTTCTCCCCAGAGCTCATCATGCCGATGGTGGGGAAGAATCCTCCGGAGGGCAGCACCATCTCCTTACGGCCCACCACTTTCCCGTTACGAGTGAAGAAAACCTGAGAACATACAAAACAAAAAACTTTACAGACTTCTTCACACCAACTGGAGTTTTGGCGTTTCTCTATAAACACATATTCAGTCTTGTGGAAACCTCTCATGGTGTGTCTCATTCAGAGAGGAACCATCCAGACATAGGAAGAACATGCAAACTCCAAACACACAAGCCCACGATAAGGATTGAACAATCTATTAAACAGACCAGAGAGTGAGAGTGAGAGAGAGACTTAGACGGACTACAGTGCCTTGCAAAAGTATTCAGCCCCCTTGGCTTTTTACCTATTTTGTTACATTACAGCCTTTAGGCCAATGTTTTTTTAATCTGAATTTCATGTGATGGATCAGAAAACAATTGTCTAAGTTGGTGAAGTGACTTGAGAAAAATATATACATAAAACTGTTTTTCAGAAATAAAAAACTGGAAATTGGCATGTGCATATGTATTCACCTTTCACCTTTCACCTTTGTTATGAAGCCCATAAAAAGCTCTGTTGCAGCCAATTACCTTCAGAAGTCACATAAATAGTGAAATGATGTCCACCTGTGTGCATGATTTGTCAGTACATATACACACCTTTTTTGAAAGGCCTCAGAGGCTTCAACACCCAAGCAAGAGGCACCACTAACCACTAACACTGCCATGAAGACCAAGGAACTCTCCAAACCAGTAAGGGACAGTGTTGTTGAGAAGTACAAGTCAGGGTTAGGTTATACAAAAATAACCAAATCTTTGATGATCCCCACAGGAGCACCATCAAATCTATCACAACCAAATGGAAAGAACATGGCACAACAGCAAACCTGCCAAGAGACGGCAGCCCACCAAAACTCACTGACCGGGCAACGAGGGCATTAATCAGAGGCAGCACAGAGACCTAAGGATACCCTGGAGGAGCTGCAGAGTTCCACAGCAGAGACTGGAGTATCAGTACATAGAACAACAATAAGCCGTACACTCCATAGAGTTGGGCTTTATGGCAGAGTGGCCAGAAGAAAGCCATTGCTTTCAGTAAAAAACAAAATGGCACGTTTTGAGTTTGCAAAAAGGCATGTGGGAGACTCCCCAAATGTATGGAGGAAGGTGCTCTGGTCTGATGAGACCAAAATTGAACTTTTCGGCCATCAAGGAAAACGCTATGTCTGGCGCAAACCCAACACATCACATCACCCAAAGAACACCATCCCCACAGTGAAACATGGTGGTGGCAGCATCATGCTGTGGGGATGTTTTTCAGCAGCCGGGACTGGGAAACTGGTCAGAGTTGAGGGAAAGATGGATGTTGCTAAATACAGGGATATTCTTTAGCAAAACCTGTGCCACTGTGCGTGATTTGAGGCTAGGACGGAGGTTCACCTTCAGGCAGGACAATGACCTCAAACACACTGCTAAAGCAACACTTCAGTGGTTTAAGGGGAAACATATAAATGTGTTGGAATGGCCTAGTCAAAGCCCAGACCTCAATCCAATAGAAAATATGTGGTCAGACTTAAAGATTGCTGTTCACAAGCGCAAACCATCCAACTTGAAAGAGCTGGAGCAGTTTTGCAAGGAGGAATGGGCAAACATCCCAGTGGTAAGATGTGGCAAGCTCATGGAGACTTATCCAAAGCGACTTGGAGCTGTGATTGCCGCAAAAGGTGGCTCTACAAAGTATTGACTTTAAGGGGGTGAATAGTTATGCACATTGACCTTTTCTGTTATTTTGTCCTATTTGTTGTTTGCTTCACAATAAAAAAAAAAGACGACATCTTCAAAGTTGTGGGCATGTTCTGTAGATTAACTGATGCATATCCTCAAACAATCCATGTTAATTCCAGGTTGTGAGGCAACAAAAACACACAAAATGCCAAGGGGGTGAATACTTTTGCAAGGCACTGTATATAGATCCACAAGGGAATTGCGGTGTTACAGTAGCTTGCATAGTATTTCACAATAAAAAGCACAAACAATAAAATAACAACCTGAAAATAATAATAATGAGATAAGAGACACCAGAGCGAGTCCAGGCAGACCAGAGAGACCAGACAGACCAGAGAATAAAGTTACGAATTAAGTTTGATTGGTTGAGTAGAGTGTGTGGAGTGTCTCACCATGACCTTCCTCCCCTCCTCCCTCTCCTCCCCTCGTTCTTCTTCCTCCTCCTCATTGTTAACGTAGAGCTCGTTCTGGACGCCCGAGGGTTTGAACACCTCTATGTCCCACTCGTCTTCCTCCTCTGCGCAAAACACACAAACATCACATTTACAACTGAACAAATATATATTTTAAAAATAAAAGGAGGTTGGGAAAGAGCAGACGTTTACACACCAACACACACACACGAGACCAGAGAGGGACCAAACACACACATCTAGTCAGATAATGGTCTTCTTCCAATGGAGCTCCTGTCAGAGCACAGGGACCTGAGGTGGAGTGGTCTGATGTTAGTACCTTCGCTGTCGCAGCTGAAGTCTCGTGGAAACATGATGCCACATCCCATAATATCTCCTTCAAAACAGCGCGGTCCAAACGGATCTCCCTCTCCACTGCCACTGAACAGCTTCCCATCGTCTGACAGAAAAACACAAAGAGTATTTCAGTACAAGAGTTTCAAACCAGCCGTTTATGTCCATTTGTAAACGTTTATGTGATGATACTAGATATTCAGGTGTTTTTTTTTTTTTTAAACTACAGATTTAGCACTTGGAAGTTCATCCATTCATTCATTTTCAACCCCTTTAATCAATCCATTACTGGGTCGGGGGGGCACCAGTCACTGATCCTCCAGCAGGTGGTGAATCCGCAGAGAGATGGCTTCTCCGTCAGCGGTGACACAGCCTTTGTCTTTCAGCGGGGGCTTCGGGCAACTAGGGGTTAAGGGTCTTGCCCAAGGACACAATGACAGCAGACATGAGTGGGAGCAGTTGGAGAAGGTTCTGTGGGGGGGATCAACCCCACTATCTTCAGGCCCAAAGGCCAATGCTCCACCAACTGAGCAACTGTTGCACTTGGAAGTTATTTGAATAAAGTCATGTTTATGAACCGTGTGCACCATAGACTGTTGATTGACAATGCTAACCCGCTAGCTCTTCGACATTAAAGCTAAGACTATGGTGATATCACAGTCAGTCAGTCCACTCCATATATACGCATGTATACGCTCTATGGTGTGGCCGAGCTCACCTGCATGATACGCGATAGAGCCCCTGCTCCATCCCGGATGTCTGTTCTTGGGATAGTCCTGAGAAAAGAACAGCATAAAATACATCATCCACTTTATCTGATGCAAGGAGGCAGAGGCAGCAAAACAGCTGAGCCATGGATATTGGACCAATGTCATCTTTGTTCTGTTAATTTCATTTATTTATTTCATAAACAATCTTTCTCCCTCTCTTTCTGATCTCTCTTCCCCTCTTGTCTGTGTAATTGTAACACTGCTCATTCATCAGATAGCGCCCCCTTCAGTCCTGGCTGACCTTGCGTGCGAGTCCCAGGGCGATGTAGCACTTTTCCCCCGGGTCGGTGATCTCCAGCTCATAGTAGTGGAAGCGCGTGGACAGGGGGCGCCGCGCCTGAGCCAAGCCCACGTCCATGTTGCCCCTCCCCCTGCCGACGTACTCCAGCGCCTGCACCACAACAACCAAAGCTGGGGTTAGACGGCAGGAAGTGAATCATACTAAATCCATCTCTGTTTACATTTCGTTTGAGTGCCTTTACCCTTTAATGGTTTCCTCAACCATTTAGTGGATCACTTTTTGAGGGACAATATCTAGTAGCTTGGAACTGAAATCAACCTGATTGAGGCATCTCACTTTGTTTTAGCCAGTTTTACCATCACACTGCATCTCAAGCGAAAATGTCTTGCTTTAAAAAAGTGACAAAAATCCTGGTTCGTGTGAGCCCCAAGCCCAAATCAAGTAACCTCTGTCTATTGGTGCAAACTTATGAAGACATTGATTCAAAAAGTGGAAAGTTTTTTTGCGTCCGTATCTGCGACCACTTTTACAGGACGTTTAGAAGTGGGTACCTCCTGAAAGATAAATCCTCATTCACAACAATGATAAGACTGGACTGGTTCAAGAGAGATTGGCCTTTTAAAAGAAGAAATATTAGGTATTATTCATAGCCATTAAACCTGATGATGCCATTTACTGTTACTTGTCATTTCAGGTTTTAGAAAGAGAAATAATAAAGGTGGAACAAGTATTGAGCCGAAGGGAGCTGCAAACACAAACTTGTGCTTGTGTTGACCAACATTTCACCTGAGAAAATACCAAAACAAACGTCTGGGCAACACTTTTGTTTTAAAGGCAGAAAACTGCTCTGAGTGTGATGTCAAAGTGGTCTCTCTGGTCTGGGCTTTGGTCTCACCGTTCCCAGGACATTGACGTCATGCAGCCGGGCCCAGTCCTCCTCGTGACTGTCCACCACCATCAGGCCCTCGTCCTCCTGCGCTGCCCACTCAGCGTTCAGGTCCAGCAGCACCTCCTCCCCCAGAGAGTGCATCCCCACAGCGGGGAAGAGGGAGTCCAGAGAGAGGGCCACGTCTACACTGCCCACCTGGACACACAGAGAGAGAGAGACACACGTTAAAGACCAGATACACACAACTGATGCAGTACCTCCTGTTCCCCAGCGGGAGGAGCAGGTGCGCTTCTGCTCAGGACACACAGACCAGTGTTTTATCAGGATTTTGTCACTGATCCTGAAGAAACCTGACCAGAAAAGACCCAGAAACTTACCTTTCTGAAACCTAGATGATGGACCAGTTTAATCCTTACCTGGAGGAATCAATCAGTATCTAAGGAGCGTTTAAACATATTGTGGCATTATTAGTGTTAAAAAAAATAATCGGATTTATCTAACATTTACCTAATTAAAGTGATTATTAAAATCATAAATTAATTTGTGATTCATAAGTTTGTGATTTTTCCCCTGAGACCAGACCAAGATCTCAGAGCGCTGATCCTGGACCAGCCCTGGGTCTTTGAACTCTGACCTCTTTGCCGTTCTTGGTGAAGAAGACCGTGGTGACGTCTTCGTCTGGGTCCGGACTGACCCCGCAGCCAATCCGGTCTCCGCGGCAACACTTGGAGCCGAACTGCTGTCCGAGTGTGCTGCCATTGTACAGTCTGCGGAGACAGGAGACAAGAGACAGAGACAGAGAGTCACAGAGACAGGGACACGGACACGGAGAGAAAGAGAGGGGGAGACAGAGAGAGGGACACGGAGAGAAAGAGAGGGAGAGACAGAGAGGGACACGGAGAGAAAGAGAGGGAGAGACACACAGAAACAAACAATCAATGATTATGTGAAGATAAAAATAATGTTTTCTTTGATCATCAGACAGACCCTGATGTGTGCGAGACACGTACTTGCCGTCGTCTGCGTGGAAGGCCACAGACTTGGGCAGCCACCCGGGCTGATGGTCCAGTTTGTAGGACTGAGGCACCAGGCCCACAGAGATCATGCCCCTCACCCCAGTGTCCACAATGGTGACCTGCAGAACAGAACCACACTCACACACAGTAGGGCTGGGAGGGTGGCTCTTGGAGGGGGTTTGCGAGATGCGTCTCTCACCCCTCTCTGGTCTCTCACCCCTCTCTGGTCTCTCACCCCTCTCTGGTCTCTCACCCCTCTCTGGTCTCTCACCCCTCTCTGGTCTCTCACCCCTCTCTGGTCTCTCACCCCCATACAGATTGAAGTTCTCACTCACTTCAAAATATCGATTTCTTCTGGACAACGGTCTGGCAGCAACAAAACAGCCGACTTCATCTGCGTTCCCCTGATACCTGCCGAGGAAACCACATCATCAACAAATGTGAACTTTTACAAATACTTTTAGAGCTTTTAAAATAGAGTTTAGATCAGGACCGGACTGACCCAGTGTGACATCACCATAGTGTTAGCCTTAAGGCCAATTTTTCTTTTATATGGGTCTTTTTTTCTGCTGCAATACAGAGGTAGACGTGTTGCTAAGGTTGCTACGGTGGTTTCTAAGGCAAGCTGGAATTTCTCCCACAAATGAAGGCATCTGATTGGCTAAAAGACAATTTCACAATACAAACACCAGGATCACAGAGCTAATCTTTAAGCCCAAAATGGAGAGTGTGACACAAACGGTCACTGAGCTAGAAGAGTTTAACTTTACATGCAAGTCAATAGCAGCCAGAGAGAGTTGGAGCAAAACTTCGTCCATGAACACTTCCTTACTGGGCATTGTTCTGGCTTGTGGCAGAGTTTTCAGCTCTATAGTGCTCTATGGTATTGTCTGTTTGTAGTGTTCTCCCATACAGACTCCTGGGCCCTGATTGGTCAGTTGTTTCTCGTTGGGAGCTGATTGATCTATACAGCTCCAGCTTGCCTTAGCAACCATGTTAGCAACACATCAGCCCCGGTCAAGGCACAGCGCTAATGCAGTCAGAACAAATGCCCATATAAGGAAATTGGCTCCTGCTCTTCTGCAATATAGGACATCAGAAATGTCTTTGAAATGCCATTCATTCCTCAGTGTCAAGAAAAATCAACTTATGAAATGTTAAGGTTACAGTGCCTTGCGAAGGTATTCGGCCCCCTTGAACCTTTCAACATTTCAGGCTTTGAACATAAAGATATAAAATTTAAATTTTTTGTCATGAATTAACAACAAGTGGGACACAATCGTGAAGTGGAACGAAATTTATTGGATAATTTCAACTTTTTTAACAAATTATTCGGCCCCCTTGCTTTCAGTGCAGCAAACTCAGTCCAGAAGTTCAGTGAGGATCTTTGAATGATCCAATGTTGTCCTAAATGACTGATGATGATAAATAGAATGCACCTGTGTGTAATCAAGTCTCCGTATAAATGCACCTGCTCTTTGATAGTCTCAGGGTTCTGTTTAAAGCGCAGAGAGAACCATGAAGACAAAGGAACACACCAGGCAGGTCCGAGATACTGTTGTGGAGAAGTTTAAAGCCGGATTTGGATACAAAAAGATTTCCCAAGATTTAAACATCTCAAGGAACACTGTGCAAGCAATTATATTGAAATGGAAGGCGTATCAGACCACTGCAAATCTACCAAGACCCGGCTGTCCCTCCAAACTTTCATCTCAAACAAGGAGAAGACTGATTAGAGATGCAGCGAAGAGGCCCATGATCACTCTGGATGAACTGCAGATAACTACTCCTTCCATTTCAATATAATTGCTTGCACAGTGCTCCTTGAGATGTTTAAAGCATGGGAAATCTTTTTGTATCCAAATCCGGCTTTAAACTTCTCCACAACAGTATCTCGGACCTGCCTGGTGTGTTCCTTTGTTTTCATGGTTCTCTCTGCGCTTTAAACAGAACCCTGAGACTATCAAAGAGCAGGTGCATTTATACGGAGACTTGATTACACACAGGTGCATTCTATTTATCATCATCAGTCATTTAGGACAACATTGGATCATTCAAAGATCCTCACTGAACTTCTGGAGTGAGTTTGCTGCACTGAAAGTAAAGGGGCCGAATAATATTGCACGCCCCACTTTTCAGTTTATTTGTTAAAAAAGTTGAAATTATCCAATAAATGTTGTTCCACTTCACGATTGTGTCCCACTTGTTGTTGATTCATGACAAAAAATTTAAATTTTATATCTTCATGTTTGAAGCCTGAAATGTGGCGAAATGTTGAAAGGTTCAAGGGGGCCGAATACTTTCGCAAGGCACTGTAAGCCAAGTTACACTTTCTGTTATGGAAGAGATTTTATGAGACATCTCTTCCATAACAGACACAAGAGAACCTTTATTCATCATACAGTGAGGAGCACACAAAATATACACATTTTTATCAATGGTTTCCTTGTTGTTTGAAGATAGTTTCTCAAAATCTTTCCTGGGAATCCTTCTCCCTCTGGCCAGGCCAAAGTGTCAATATCAGTTCATCTCAATCCTCCTTGTGCGATATATGGAGAGACACCTAACATTTGGCAGTAACAGTGTGAGGCTCAAGATGGCAGGTCCCATAGAACCTTAAACTGTGCATACACAACTTCCTTCCATGAGTTTGATTAACCTACACAATTCTGTACATAACCCCATGTTGCGCACTGAACTGAGTACAAAAAAAACAGACAAATGTTATTGCCCAGCCTTATGCACCTCCACAGATGCCGTAGACCAGGGGTGTCAAACTCATTCCAGGTATTCACTCCCACAAACAGTCCACATTAGACTCATTCATACAGTCTGAACCTAAAGACCGGGTGGAATGAAAAGCTGTAGCCACACTGCCCTTTCTGGATGTTGTTCTCTGTATCAATCTAACGTTGATAAAGGTTCTGGTCCATGCACCTGCTGTTTCTTTGGGGTTTTTTCTAAATTTCTCTTGCGTATAGGAGAGAACATTTAGCACTTTGCTGGTCCTCTCCCTGTTCTCCCTGTTCTTTTGCTATCGTTTAATATAGATTGCTCACATTGTAGGTTGAGTTTCTTCTTTTTCATAAGTTTTCCCTTTTTAACATTCAGGCCATGGGTGGTGACGGCCATCATATCCAGCACATCTGAGCAGCACTCTTCCATGTTTAGAGGAGACATTTCATTCCCTTTTGTATCTTTGATTTGGGCTTTGGGGCTGTGGGGTCTCTGTGCCTCCTGCTTCCTTCTCTGCATCAGGGTGTATCTCAGTGGTCTGGGACTTAGTTGCCTCCTGGACCACCAGGGGACTCCTCATGGCTGGATGTGTGGCTTTCTTGTTTTTCCACCTATTTTTGCCTTTTGTGACTTGAGGAAAGTCGGCCTGGAGAGCTGCAGCTGCTGAGACTGTTTCCACCTGTGTGGCACCGAGCACAGACGGAGGAGCTATGACAGAGACAGCCTCATTGAGGATTTCTGCTTCTCCATCTGCAACGCTCACAGCAGGCTTTACCTCAAGTTCTTCCAGATTGTGTTTTACTGTGACTGTGACGATGGCTCTGTAGACGTCAGCATCACGGTCCACATCCTCAGAAGCACCCATCTCAATCTGAAAGCCCTCTCCTTGTACTTCCTGGTTGTTTATACCTTGGATCTGTTGGATCCGAGGCTCTGATCCAAGGACATTGTCAGCTCATTCACAGTTATTGAAACAGTTGGCTCTTTCTGGAGCTTCAATAAACGCTCTTTAGCCTCTTTCTCCTTCTCATATTTCTGTTTCCAAAAGTTCTCTCTGTCCAACAGGACTTTTCTTTCCTGCTCCCACACGTTTTGCGCTTCCATTAGCTCTTCATACCTTCCTTTCCACATGGATCCTTCTTTCATTCTATCCATTTCACTTTGTTTGGGTTTTGGAGTAATTTGCGGTCTGTGAAGTCTTCAGTTCAGTTCACACTCCAGGGCTCACTATGTGACCCCATAGTGACATATTCTGTGATGTCAAAGTGACATCCCAGAATGGTACTAGCTACTTCCACCACGACCATAATGGACAGGGCAGGTGTCAATACAACTCTATGGGAAATAATCAATAATTTATTTGGAACAAATAAAATAATTATTTGTTATTTAGTTACTATCACTATTGTTACTAATAATAGTGATAGTAACAAGAATCAAATGGTGGTTTTGTGTTGGTCTGTCACATAGAATTGCAATAATATATCTTCATGTTTGTAGTTGTAACAAAATGGGGAAAAGTTCACTCACACACACACACACACACACACACACCAGTCACAATGTAGCTTTTACTGGTCACTTTCATTTAGATTAGAAATGTTATGTTTTGCATCTTTAAAAGTAAAATAATGTAGCTAATGCCATTTCTGTGGAATTCCATTGTTGGGAACCAATAAGCATCTGCTTCATCCAACCCCTTTTCAAACCTGTACTCGAGTAAAGATTAGTGTAAAGATATGTGAAATTGTGTTTTGCAGGTTTGAAATAAATCTAACTAACGAACATGCAGTTGTTATTCCATATAAAGCATATATAGGAATGGACAATACTTGTGTTGGCCTATTCACTTCAAGTATTCAAGTAAACTTCTCAGCCTATGGTTTAATGCTCAACATGATCTTACAAATCCAGTTATCACCCATCACAACTAACCAATCAGGTGCTTTCTATCGCCAAATTAAGCTAGTAGGTAGCACGAGCGTAAATAATAATGTATTGGTTTTATATAGCGCTTTTCTGGACACTCAAAGACGCTTTTACATGTCATTATTCATTCACTCCATACACGGTGGTGATAAACTACTACTGTAGCCACAGCTGCCCTGGGGCACACTGACAGAAGCAGGGTGAAGTGTCTTGCCTAAGGACACAATGGCAGTTTGGCACTTCACAGCCGCAGCCACCCCACTGTGGCTGGTGTTCCCAGAGGTTAAGTGTCTTGCCAAGGACACAACGACAGCAGACAGTGGGAGTCGATGGTGAAGGTCGGACTTGAACCCACGACCCTCTGGCTCAAAGGCCGTAGCTCTACCAACTGAGCTACTGTCGCCCTGTAAAGACAATTGTAAAGACAATTGGTCCTGCCCCTGATTGGGTGTTTGGTTACTATTATACAGATTGGATTGGGTAAATGGGAAGGGTACTTACTGGTATCTCTGAACACAAACTGTACAAATTCAGTAGTGAAAATGTACGAGTATGAATAATGCTAACGCCAACACTGTGGTTATGTCACACTCTGTCAGTCCACTCCAGTGGTTAGTGCTGGGTTTGGGTTAATGCTAGTTTGGGTGTTGGTACCGGATCAGATCTCCGTCTCGCCGCATGCGCTTCAGCCGCTCGCGGTAGCGCACTGCTCGCACATCGCGGATCTCTCGGATGCGTCGTCTCCAGTTGAGAAACCGATAATGAATGTTGATGTCGTCCATCACCAAGGAGCATCACAGACCTGCACACAAACATGTGATGAGAGACCAGAGATCAGACAAAAGAATTGTCTAATCTCTTACATGGTTCCTTTTTTGTATAAAACACATGAAGTAATTTTAAAGAGACAAGAGACCAGAAAAAGACCAGAGAGAGAGAGAACAGAGACCAGAGAGCAGAGGGAGAAAGACCAGAGAGAAGACACTTATCTTCATTATTCCATCAGTATTGCGTAAATGCACCGATCTTTGTTAACATTGCGGTCACAATAGCAACTATCTCCAAGATGTCATTGTTGCTGCTCTGTCCAACCAGGAAATAACATGATGAACTTATATTATATATACTGAGCTTAAAATAACAGGTTGAACCGGGCAGGAGTCAAATAATAAATATATACATCTGAACTATGTTTTAGTGAGATGAGAAATAACTTTACTTACTTAGAAATGTAACCAGTTATGTGGTTTCTATACAATAATTAGGAAGAGACCAGCAAGATAGACCAGAGAGAGACCAGAAAGAGTGACTAGAGTAAGAGACCAGAGATTGTTTATAATACATGTATTATTAACAATAATAATAAACAACAAGAACAACATTATTAGTATTATTATGTATTGAATTAGAGAGGGAGACCAGAGATGGAGACCAGAGACTACAGTATAATCTAATAGTTTATATTATAACAAAAGAAGATGAAAAGTTATACCAACGCTGCGTATGAAACCGATGTGGCTTTGGCTGCATCCACATTCATAAAAAGTCCTCTTTTTGTACACGACAAATGTACATTCTATGAAGCAGGGTGGATTCAGGGTTTGTCAAGTTTAATGTAAATGTTTAAAGTCTTCAAAAATGCCAGGCAGGTCAAATGTATTCTCACCAAAGCCAATACAACATATAAGGAAGTATAAGAAAGGATGCATGTTTGATGAATTCGGAAGCAGTCTATGGTTCCACCGGTTCAGCCTGCTTTCGCCGCTCAGTCTTGTCCTTTTTATGGGTTTAATACTTTACTAAACACTGGGTTGGGATACACCAGCGTCAAACATCAGAAATGTGAGTGTGGTGTGAGAATCTTACGGTTTAACAGCGGAGTTTCGGTGTTTGGTGAAGATTTGGTGAAGACGACTCTGTCACCGCTGTGCTGTTGCGCTGTAGGAAGTCCCGCCCCCCAGTCTGTCTCAGCCAATCAGAACGGAGAATCACAGCTGCTGTTTTTAACCTGTTCTCTGCCACAGCTATCTTTAGGCCATACATGCTGATGGACAATGCTAACCCGCTAGCTCAACGAAGCCCAATAGGGAAGTGCTCTTAGATGAAGTTTGTCTCCAACTCGCTCCGGCTCCTATTAACTTACATTGAAAAGTAAACTCATCTAGTTCAGTATATGTTTGCGTCACATTCACCATTTTAGACTCTGGTGATATTGTATCAACCATATATGGATTGACCAATCAAATACCTTCCTGTGAGATAAAACAGCTTGTATTAGCAATCGTCATAGCAACATGTCTGCCCCTATTACAGCGTGAAGCTAAAATCGAGGAAGAAATGCCCATATAACGACATTGGCTAGCTTATGTTCAAATTGGCCTCTTCCACATTAAGTCTGAGACTATGGTGATGTCACACTTGGTCAGTCCCTTCCTCATATACGCCCTATGCTTTAGGCACAAAGGATATGGGCGGATTCCTCTGTCCTTACATAACCAGAGTTACAGCTCTCCTCATGGGTGTATTGTATTATCCTGTCACTTGTCATCTGTTTTTTACTCATGAAATCTATTTCTATAAATCCACGCGGTTGTGCCTCAAACTCTACGGCCCACTTTACGTTTTAATGTGGCCCAAAAGGACATTCTCCCATCCCCAAACTCCCCTAGTTAAATTAATGGGAATCAACCATGGATCTATTATATTAACTGGATAGGGTATTACTAGCGTGTAGCTGAATAACCCATGTGCTCAGGGATTCTCGCGGTACTGCAGACTGAACCAGACTAAATTCAAGTGGGCTACCCAGAAATTTTCCCCATAGAACTCAATGCAAATTAAAACAGCTCGACCTCAGCTGACAGAGAACCTACAGCTTTAATAAAGATAGGATTTTGTGGGGATTTTAGTGTCCCTTGTCATCCTGAACTTTTTTTCTTTTTAAATCCTTCGGTTTTGTTTAAATCCACACTTTAGTGCCACAAACTCTGCTCGTCTGGCTCTCGCTCTAACTCCCGCTCTGATGAACTGCTCTGATTGGTCAGAGCGCGGCCGAGCCCCTCTGTGCACGTGCGTGAGACCCGGTGTGAGACCCACACACGCGTGTTAGACGCAACGCATTATGGGAGATCATCCACTGCGCAGAACCGGGAGGACCAGACGATGCCCAAATACAGGCGAGTTTCCCATAGATCTTTGCGAGTTTCAGGCAACTTCCGCTAATCTTTCAGCCCCCATGCCGCCACAAAGCGCCACTGAGCACAACCATTCATTTGAATAGGGCGCCATCTTGGATCGCCGGGGCTTGGAATCAACACCCAATGAATGGGCCTCATTCACCAATATCTTCTTAAGAATCTTCTTTGTCTTGAGTTTTTCTTAAGATTTCCAAGAAGACCCTACGGGGATTCATCAACTCGTTCTTAAGCCGCTAGATTGTTCGTTGCTGTTCTCTTAGATTGATGAATGCCATCTCCAGATAAGAGCGCGCGTGCCAGGTAAGTCATTAGCATAGGTACTTAGCATAGGTAACCGCCCATTATTGCCCATAAAAGGAACTGCAGGGCCATGTGTGTTGTTGTGCCAGAGGAAACAGCAACATGCCTAAAGCTAAGAGTTACGACGGAGCAAAAGATTAATGTCATAATGTCATAATATTTAGACTTTAAAGTTGAAATATTATGAGAATATAGTTGAGCTAGCAAAATGATGAGATTAATCTTAAAGTATTGAGATTAGTCTCAAAATAATTATGAGGATAAACATATTTCGGACCTTGGGAGGAGATCCAGCAGGGACCCCAGGGAGAGACCTGCGCGGACCCCACAACCTCATGCAGCAGCAGTATATATGGCATTGTGGCCCGTGGATGGAGAAATGCACCCAATAAATAGGGTGGGGTCACTAATTGACGGCATTATTTCCAATTTATTTGATGAAGTGTACATTTAAGGGCAAATTTATTTAGAAAATTAATAAAACAATTGGCTAACTTACCATAAAAAAATATAATGAAAAAATTACATGCATCAATATGAAAAACATGAACTTAACAAAAGCAAGCAACACCAGCATGCCAACATGTCGGCACTGAAATGTGCTCAAGCGTTTTCCTGAGTGTTCGTAGGATTTTGTTCTTACCAAAGAGAAATCCTGGATGATAGAAAAATCATGAATGCCACAATCTCCCTAAAATAAGTAGGACTTAAGAACATTTTTTTTCTTAAGAACAGTTTGTGAATGAGGCCCAATGTTTGCAACTTCATCAACATTTATCTTTCCACAAGACTGAGCCTTATAGCTTTCGACCAGCTTTTGTTCAATCCAGGCAAGAATTGAAATCTAAAGACGACAAAAATAATATTTTTATTTAGTAAAATAGAATGTCCTCAAAGTACGTCCCACATTTTAACAGGTTTACAAAAATATAGCCGTAGATGCAAAAGATGAGCTTAAACTTATGTCTTCAGGTTTCCCTGTTATATTTGTAACTAATGTAGCTTTTTCTCAAACAGACTACAAATTAAATTAAATGGTAACCATGTGAAAACCAGACTGGCCCTCCACACTAAACCACTGTGCTACTGGGAAAAACACTCGCCCGCCCCTGGGCAGGGTCAGAACGCTCACCTGTTCCTCTGGCCACAAGGCAAGGCAAGGAAAGTTTATTTGTATAGCACAATTCATCCGTCCGTCCGTCCATTTTCCTCCGCTTCATCCGTTGCCGGGTCGCGGGGGCAGCAGTCTAAGCAGAGACGCCCAGACTTCCCTATCCACACACACTTCCTCCAGCTCGTCCGGGGGGACCCCAAGGCCCAGGCCAGCTGAGAGACTCCAGCGTGTCCTAGGTCTTCCCCGGGGCCTCCTCCCAGTGGGACGTGCCCGGAACATCTCCCCAGGGAGGCGTCCAGGAGGCATCCGGAACAGATGCCCGAGCCACCTCAACTGGTTCACCTCGACGTGGAGTAGCAGCGGCTCTACTCCGACCTCCTCCCGTGTGACCGAGCTCCTCACCCTATCTCTAAGGGAGCGCCCAGCCACTCTGCGGAGGAAGCTCATTTCGACCGCTTGTATCCGCGATCTCGTTCTTTCGGTCACTACCCAAAGCTCCCTCTTCACCACGACGTGCCTGTCAATCTCACGCTCCATCCTTCCCTCACTCGTGAACAAGACCCCGAGATACTTGAACTCCTCCACTTGAAGAAGGACCTCTCCACCCACCTGGAGAGGGCAAGGCACCTTTTTTCCAGTCGAGCACCATGGCCTCGGATTTGGAGGTGCTGATTCTCATCCCAGCCGCTTCACACTCGGCTGCAAACCGTCCCAGTGCATGTTGTAGGTCCTGGTTTGTTGGAGCCAACAGGACAACATCGTCCGCAAACAGCAGAGATGAAATCCTGTGGTCCCCGAACCGGACCCCCTCCGGCCCCTGGCTGCGCCTAGAAATTCTGTCCATGAATACAGTGAACAGAACCGGTGACAAAGGACAGCCCTGGCGGAGGCCAACATGCACCGGGAACAGGTCTGACTTACTGCCGGCAATGCGAACACAGCTCTGGCTCCGGTCATACAGGGACCGAACGGCCCTCAGCAGAGGACCCCGGACCCCGTACTCCCGGAGAACCCCCCAAAGAACATCCCGGGGAACACGGTCGAACGCCTTCTCCAAATCCACAAAGCACATGTGGACAGGTTGGGCGAACTCCCATGAACCCTCGAGTATCCGATGGAGAGTATATGGCTGGTCCAGTGTTCCGCGGCCGGGATGAAAACCACACTGCTCCTCCTGAATCCAAGATTCGACCATTGGCCGTAGCCTCCTCTCCAGTACCTTGGAGTAAACCTTGCCGGGGAGGCTGAGGAGTGTGATCCCACGATAATTGAAACACACCCTCCGGTCCCCCTTCTTGTAGAGAGGGACCACCACCCCGGTCTGCCACTCCATTGGCACCGCCCCCGATCGCCACGCGATGTTGCAGAGACGTGTCATTCAAGACAGTCCCACAACATCCAGAGACTTTAGATAGTCAGGGCGGATCTCATCCACTCCCGGCGCCTTGCCACCATGGAGGCTGCCAACCACCTTGATGGAAGTATCCGCCCCAACATCCTCAGCCTCTGCCGCCGGGGCGGAGGACGTGACGGGGGGGTTGAGGAGAACCTCGAAGTATTCCTTCCACTGCCCGACAATATCCCCAGTCGAGGTCAGCAGCTCTCCACCCCCACCATAAACGGTGTTGGCAAAGCACTGCTTCCCCCTCCTGAGGCGCCGGACGGTTTGCCAGAATCTCTTCGAGGCCGACCGATAGTCATGCTCCATGGACTCTCCGAACTCCTCCCAGACCCGGGTTTTTGCCTCTGCAACAGCCCGGGCCGCAGCACGCTTGGCCTGCCGGTTCTGGACAGCTGCCTCAGGGGTCCCCCGAACCATCATGGCTCGATAGGACTCCTTCTTCAGCCTGACGGCATCCCTTACTGCCGGTGTCCACCACCGGGTTCGGGGGTTGCCGCCGGGACCAGCACCAGAGACCTTGCGACCACAGCTACGAGCCGCCGCATCGGCGATAGAGGAAGAGAACATGGTCCACTCAGACTCAATATCCCCCTCCTCCGCCGGGACCTGGGAGAAGCTCTCCCGGAGGTGCGAACCTGAGGCCTGTCTGCCATGGGAGACCCTACCAGGGGCATGAAGCCCCAGACAGCATAGCTCCCAGGATCACCCGAGTACTCAAACTCCCCCACCACGTTAAGGTGGCAGTCCAGGGGGGAGCACAATTCATACACAAGGCAACTCAAACTGCTGAACAAAACTAAAACAAATAATCACTGTACATTTAAAAGAAACATTAAAAATACAAATTCCATAAGTTGTATGCACAGCTAGCTAGCTAAACATTGTCAGAGAAGATAATGCGTTTTTTTATTTTATCTTTGCAATATTTGCTTTGTCTCAGGTCTTGTTGTGGTGAAGAGGGAGCAGCGCCTACAGTCCAATTCAATCTGAAGAGACCAAAGACACAATTAATACAATAAAATTATTTATTTGTTTGACGCATTGACCCCGGCAGTGACACTTGCAGCGATGAGATCGATTGCAGCTGAAGATGATCTCAGATCCCCCGGAGTCAAGCACTGGTGGTGGCTAGAGTATGGTGTGAATGGGGTGTAGGCGGAGCAGGAGCCAGAGCAGGAGCCAGAGCAGGAGCCTAGAGCCAGAGCCAGGGCAGGAGCCAGAGGAGGCGCTGGGGAGGAGGTGGGTGTTTAAGAGCCTCAGGAAGTGTTGCTTGTCAGGAAGTGGCTGCCTTTTAAACTGCCCGCTTTGCTGTGAGAGGGTTGGCAGGAGTCTGGCCGGGCATGGGATTGGCTGAGGCTTGGGGATGGCAGAGATGTGTGATTGGCTGAGGCTTGGGGCTGGCAGAGATGTGTGATTGGCTGAGGCTCGGGGCTGGCAGAGCTGTGTGATTGCAGGCTTGGAAGGGGGAATTTGCACTCGGTCTTTCAGTCTGAATATACACTTCAGCTTCATGTTACAGGCATTTCCCACTGGGAGGAGACCAGGGGGAGACCAGGGGGAGACCAGTGTCTCTAAGCTGGCCTGGGAACATCTCAGGGGCATCGCTGCTTAGACTGTTGCCTCTGCAACCTGGCAATGGATACAGCGGACGTAAATGGATGGATGATATTTGCTTTTATGTTGTGTCTTTTATTATATTTTTCTTTTTTGACGTAGAGGGTTTTTCAAACATCCTTTTCCCCTGATTCGAATTACTATATTCAAAGTTTGATGTATTCTCTTGTTTAATTGTGAACATCTGTCATAGAGAAGCTGTTTGATTACATCACGACAGGGCCCCCTTCCAGGTCCCCCCCCCAAGCCCATGCCTGTCTCGCCCCGTGGTCGCCCCGCCTCTGCCTTCTGCCCTCACCCACCACCTCCGCTCTCTCCCGCAGACAATCGCACCATGTCCTCACCGGGCGCCTCCGCCTCCTCCCCGCTTTCCTCATTGATGCCCAAACGCAAAACCAAAAAGAAGCATTTTATGCAACAAAAAGTGGAAGTTTTCCGAGCGAGCGACGCGGTTCTGGGCGTCCTCGTGTGGGGCGTCAATCATTCGGTAAGTGCGCTGGAGACAAAAAAAACAATTAAATCTAAAGCCACAAATGTACAACAGGTTCTGATTGCTTAAGTTTTGTGACGTGGGTCTCTCTCTCCGCAGATGAGCGACCTGTGCCACGTCCCTGCACCTGCCATCCTCCTCCCGGACGACTTCAAAGCCAACACCAAGATAAAAGTCACCAACCAGTTTTTCAACAAGTAATTTCCCCTTGTATTACTGCTTTTCTTTTGCCGCGAAATTGTGGCTTATCTAGAAAAAAAAAAATACTGCGACCTTTTGTGCTTGGAGAATGGGTTCTTTTCTCATTACTGAGTCAAGCCATTAGCCCGGGACAGAGATAACTCAAAATGAAGTCACGCGCACGGATTATGGAGTTTATTATTGTGAATGGAAATGTTGGACTGTCGTAGTTAGTTTGGTGGCAGATATACACACACACACACACACACACACACACACACATACACACACACACATACACAGACACGCACACACGCACACGGACTCATACTCATTTATGAAGTATACTGTAGGGGTGAATTGAATATTCTCATATTCTTATACAAGTTAGTTGAATGGCCATGCTAAATGTACACACACACACATACACACACAAACACACACTGGTGCCTGGCTCTTATAGTAATCCTGTAAGCCATTGAGGAATTCCGGCCGGCTAAAGTCCTATCGAAAAAGAACAGTGAGTTTGTCAAAAGTTTTTAAAAACTTGCTGTCTATGACATCATAGTCCGAGGAATCATCACAGCTTAATGAGTTGGAAAGTGGAGCATATTGACAGAAGGGACGGGGGCGTGTTTGGACGTGGGAAAAGTTCTTACAAACCAATGACAGATGCAGAAAAGCACTGTATCATTATTATTTTTAATTATTATCAAATCAACTTTGTTTGTAAAACTTCAAACTCTCATTCTGGATTAATAATAATGCAACACTAAAAAACACTTCTCATGTGATTATTCTTGGTGATGGTGATAAACTTTAGTACTGTAGCTACTGCACTCATTTTAGGCAATGTTGGTGAAGTGACTGGGCTATGGACAGAAAGACACTTTAGCATTACAGCCGCAGCCGCCCCACTGTGGGACCAGAGGTCTCCCATCACAGTAATAATCAGGCCCTGCCCAGCTTAGCTTCAGAGGTCTGATAGGATCTGACTTTCACCTGCAGGTATTAATACTACATATCAGAACCTCCTCAAGCGTCTGCTGTGTCTAAGGTCTGATCTGCAGCTACATTATATTCATACATATGTGCCGTAAATATCATTCTGCTGTAATTTGTGTCTTGAGTTTCTCCAGATTGAACTAATACATGTCTTTTCTTTGATCTTAGAGAACACTTGCCGGGACAGTTCAAGTTCAAAGAATACTGCCCCCTGGTGTTCAGAAACCTGCGTGAACACTTTGGCATCGACGACCAAGACTTCCAGGTACAAACATCACAACAGCCATAGGACGGGGTCAGACTGGTCCAGACGGGTGCAGACCATGGATGTATTATATCCACGCTCTAAACCATGTCTTTGTTTATGCGGAGATCGGAATCTGCTTAAAACCTTCTCCACATGGACTAGAGGCCATCTGTGGTACTGCAGCATAAATCAACATGGGTTGTAAGCCGATTTCCCAATAGACCTCAGTGTTCACTAAAACGGCTCGTCCTCAGCTGACAGGGAACCTGCAGCGTTCACAAATGAGGATTCTCAATCAATCAGTTAAATGTATGTTTGTCTGTTTTAAATGTAGAGCACATTTAGAACAGCTGTAGCTTAACAAAGTGCTGTACAGACAGTAAAAAAACAGCACAATAAAAACACATAAAAAGACAGAAATATATATACACATAACACATAATATACATGATTCTGTGGGGAGTTCTGTGTCGCTTCTCATCCTGAACGGTTTTTCTTTTGAAATCTGTTGGTCGTCTATAAATCCACACTTTAGTGCCACAAACTCAGCTCGCTCTCGTTCCGCTCTCACTCGGCTCTGATTGGTCAGAACGCTCTGGTCCTGCAGAGGTAGAACAATGCACAAGGCCGGGGGAACCAGAGCTGACCAGAATGCATCAAATCTGCTAATGTTTGGGACACCCATTGTATTAGCACATGCCAATGAGCACAGGCCATTGATCTGAATGGGCAGACATCTTTGAGACCTGGGGCTTGGGGCAGACTGGTTGAGACTTGTTCAGACAGGTTCTTCTGTGGCGTTTAGAGTTTGAACAAAAGCCGGTGGAAAGTCTGCAGAGTTATTTGCATTGGAGTGGCACATTTGCATAGAGCAGGTGCACTTTGGTTCAGTCTGAAGCAGAAGAGAAACTGAAAGGATTTATGCAATGAACTATTTATTAGCCGTGATTCCATTTATATTGTGAATAAACAATATTAAATGTAACTTGTCCCTAAACCAGGTCTCAGGACTGAACCAGGAGTGAGCAGGACTAAATCAGGACTGAACAAGACTAAACTAGGACTAAACCAGGACTGAACCAGGTCCCAGATCTGAACCAGGACTAAACCAGGACTGAACCAGGAGGCCCTGTTTGTCCTGCAGGTGCAAAAATCTCTCTCTGGTTTCTCTCTCTGGTCTATCATCCTGGTTGCTCCCTTCTCTCTCTCTCTGTCTCCTCTCTCTCTGGTCTCCCCCTGGTCTCTGTCTCCTCTCTCGCTGGTCTCTCCCTGGTTTCCGTCTCCTCTTTTTCTGGTCTCTCTCTCTGGTCTCTCCCTGGTCTGGTGTGAAACTCTCCTCAAAGCTGCTGTGTTGCTGTTGTAATGCCATGTTTGTCCTGCAGATGTCTCTGGCGCGCTACTCCCTTCTCCGTCTGGAGGAGCCCCCCTGTGGCGGCCTCCTGCTTACCTCCTGTGACCGCACTCTGGTGGTGAAGGAGGTGTCCAGTGAGGAGGTGGAGGAGATGCACAACATTCTGTCCGAGTATCACCAGGTAAAACCCCCACACGGGACAGAGCTGCTTCAGAATATCTTTTATTATTGAGTATTTTAGAGCAGTATTGAGAATTAAAGCTGGGGTACGTGGCTATTTTTCTTGACCCTGTCTGGTCTATCTCTGGTCTCTCTATCTGTTCTCTCTGTGTCTCTGTCTCTCTCTCTTTCTCTCTCTCTGGTGTCTCTCTCTGGTCTCTCTCTCTGGTCTCTCTCTCTGGTCTCTCTGATCTTTCTCCTAGGTCTCTCTCTGGTCTCTCTCTCTCTGTTATTTCTCCCTGGTCTCTCTCTGGTCTCTCTTTCTGGGTTCTCTCTCTCTCTTATCTGTCTCCCAGGTCTCTCTCTCACTCTTTCTGGTCTCTCTCTCTCTGTCTGGTCTCTGTCTGGTCTCTCTCGTGCTCTCTCTCTGGTCTCTCTTTCTGGTCTCGCTCTTTCTCTGGTCTCTCGTTCTCTCTCTCTGGTCTCTATGGTCTCTGTCTGGTCTCTCTCGCGCTCTCTCTCTGGTCTCTCTTTCTGGTCTCTCTCTCTCTCTCTGGTCTCTCTTTCTGGTCCCTCTCTCTCTGGTCTCTCTCTTGAGTTACCCCATTTATCTCAATCCGGTTTCTGCGATTGGATAAAAGAACATTGTGGCCTCGTCCTGAGCTGAAGTGAGAGTGATAGAAGTGAGTTTCTCCCACACGGCTGCTGCGTGTGAAGCTGCGACCTACATCCTCCTCTGAGCTCTCTTCTGTCTGCTTCAGTCACCGAGGTCTGACTCATGCAGAGAACTCACGACTCCCTAAGATAAAAGCAGCTCTCCCCTTATCACAGTCTTGATATTTCACTGCAAAATGGTGTCAAAAGAAACACGTCTACTTTTTTTTCCCATCCAGTTACATTTCCTTGTTATCTTTGTAGCCTCATTCCCACTGCAAAAAAACATAAACTGTAAATGTTAACGGACGTAGTGACGCCTTTTTCCTCCATTGAAATGTATGTGTGATCAACATGTACCTTTTGAAAGTGGCCATGAGTAGCCCCTCTCACAGGAAAATGGTGAAAAAACTACTAGCCGGCACGAGTCGCTTTCGGAGCGGAGGTTGTATCATTTGCGCATGCGTTAGATGGATCCAGGCTGACACATGGCTGAAAAAACACCATCATTCACAGTGGATAAACTAAAGAACAAAAGAAAATACTCCCCTATGTATTGACACGCATCTGGAACGTAGCAGTGAGCCTAGAGCGGACTTTTGGTCCAGGTTGTGAAGTAATTTTTGAAACAAAAAAAGGCACCATAAGAATTCATTGGATAATTCTGTTTCTGGGTCTACCACGAGCCTGAACTTTAGATCTTTTTGAGCCGGGACCAGCCCCCACTGACAAAAACACAGGGATTTTGATACATAGCCAATATTGATCTGTGATTTAAACACAATTGAACAAAGTATTTTCTAGCTGGCTGCTCACATATGGCTCAAAAAGAAGAAGAAAAAGGTTCTGAAACTACACACAAATCGCATGAGAAACAATAATCTGCAGTGATAATGCAGTGACAGTGTAACGAGCCGTGGAGCCGTGTTTGGGTGAGTGAAGCTCTCATTGTGAGAGTTTGGACTGTTGCACGCACTGTTCTTTCCTTTATAGTTGTAAAAAGATGTTTATTTTGCTCCATTCAATTCAATTAATGGTAAATCAATTATCTTTATTTACATAATGTCATAGTCTTACAAAACATTCTAATTTTAAGTTTGTAGGTTTTTTTGTAAAAAGGAACTCCCAGGAAGCTGCATTAGCTTAAAGGTGGGGCCATGTGGATAAGAAACTTGCCATAGTCCCAAAGACCTTAGACATAGGAGTGGACTGAACGAGTGTGACATCACCACAGCGTTAGCCTTAATGCGGAAGAAGCTGATTTGAACATAAGCTAGCTGAAGCCAATTTCCTTATTTGAGAAATTAGCTCTGCACTGTAACAGAGGCGGACGTGTTGCTAAAATGTCGTGTAAAAGTGAAATGTCGTGAACAAATCAGACCACATCACGCTGTCTTCATCTCATCAGAGAGAGCCCTGTGAGTCACGATCTGCCTCTCTGGGCTGCTTCTCTCTCCGCAGCATGTGGTCTTGTGTCGCGGCTCCACGCTGCTGCCTCAGTTTCTCTCCATGTACAGAGTGAGTGTGGAGAGCGAGGAGACGTACCTCCTGGTCATGAGGAACATGTTCAGCCACCGCCTCACCACTCACCGCAAGTACGACCTCAAGGTACCAAGCACCACTCACCTTTTTCTGGTCTTTCTCTCGGGGCTCTTTTGTGAAAGCAGAAGGTTCCCTGTCAGCTGAGGACGAGCCGTTTTAGTGAACACTGAGGTCCATGGGGAAATTTAATTACAGCCCATGTGGATCTAAGCTGCAGTACCGCGGGTGGCCTCTAGTCCATGTGGAGACAGGTTGAAGCAGAAAAACCCTCCACATAGTAACATCGAGGCTTGTGACACCAATGGCTTGTTATTATTGTATTTCCTGTGTTTGAATTGTTTGATTCTCTGATCCATTGTTGGGTAATCCACAACTTTTTGAATGTACTCTTGTAATTTAGGGGGATACTTAAATACATTGAATTGAACTCAGCATTTATATAGAAGTGGGAGAACACATGCATTTGCACACATTTAGAATTTTACATCTAACTTGGCGTGGTCTAACAGAAGGCCTGTAGAGGCCTAAATATTTTAACAATCATGATCACAAATACTGCATCGTACGTGTTCTTTAAAGCGGTCACTGTCTTTTGTGTAATTTCTGTTTTGTCCACAGGGGGCGATGGGGTCTCGAGAGGCGAGCTGCAAAGAGAAGGTGCGTCTTTATATTAACATTGACTGCCAGCCCATTTCAAAACAGGTACTCCCATATTGCCAGCCGTTTCTGGTGGTTTTTACTGATTTTTCAAGACCCACAGAATATTGTGTACTTTGACTATCTGAAATCTAAAACTAGATTCTGAAAGAATGGGCTGTCTACTCTCACCAGCAAAAAGAATTTTGTTTCTATCTTGTTTAGTTCTTCTGTAATCCCCAGTTGAGTAGAGGGAAGTTTTATTGAAATCACCAGAAAGCTGAGAAAAAAGGGCCACAAACAGTGCATCTAGCTGTGTTCAAACCATTCATAGCGCAATGCTGCCATCTGCTGGCTCCATAAAGTATTGCCTCAAGCCAATCTCCACATATTAGATTCAATGGACAGCTGGGAACGTAAAAATAGCGGGAAACGCAATTGACGTGTTAACACGTCATTGGCAGACAACGTTACTATTTAGTTTGACGTGTTAACACGTCAATGGCAGTCAATGAGTTAAACTTTATTACAGACACAAGGTTAATAACAAGTTAATCAACAAAAATTAAGACAAAAGCTGCTAAAATATTTTGGGGGCCGTCATTTTATTATCCAATGCTCACATTGGCCGGTGAGGATTCCAACGGAATCTACCGTTGATTAATACTGCTTAAACCTCATGTTTAGTTCCCAGCTCCATGTACGGGAATTAAATAAAACATTCATAATACATGTCTTATGTAGGTAAACCTTTATTCTTTATCACAGCACAGTGACAAATGAAAGGTTAATTGCAGTGACGTGCGGTGAGGTTGGTGATTGGTGAGGCACTGACTTCACCCCAGTCAGATACACATATATCATATAAATCAACAGGACCTACTGAGTGGCTTATTCACAATTTTTTTGGCTGCAGCAGAATTTGTTTAATGTCCGCATTGTTTGCTCATACCAAACACAAAAGTTTGTAAAAAGCACATTTAACAGTGTGTTATGGTCCTTACCTCACTGTAAACATGACCTGCACAGACCACTTCAGTTCAGACCAGTTTCATGTTTAAGTCCAGATAACAGTTTGAGCGCAGATATGTAATCCTCCATTTGGAAATAAGGCCAATGAGTTTTAAAAAGTAAAACAAAACGGTTATCTGCTCCATAAACTCCTCTTGTGTTTCGCTGCAGCCGAGCCTCGGGCGCATCCAATTTCTAATATCAACCTTCTTACCCTTCACCTCTTCACCACCATCATTGGAAGCATAAAATTACCCTAAGTAAATTTTAAATAATCTTACAATGTGTTAAATGTATTTTAGCCAATCCTGTAGCTGCCCTTAGCAGAGGAAGAACAAGAAAGGAGCTTTCAGATTAAATGGGCTCTATTCACGCACCACTTCCGCGTTTTAGCTACAACCCCACTTCACTTCCTGTTTGCGGGAAACAGCTTGAGTTTCACTGGAGTTCAGCAGTGGTTTACACGAGTTTCCGAATAATGCTCAAACGGGAATTAAACTGTGAGGATACTGAGCATTTTTGGGACACAGCAGTGCTCTTTGATTGTGCTGTCATTGTGTTTTTATAACGTTTAAAAATCTCTCTGAGTGGCCACAGTCAAAGCTCTACCTCAGAGAGAAAGCACAGTGACACTTTTGGGTCAGTTTCACAGCTGAATGTATCAATCTAATTACTAAAACACGTCACTAAAACTCACTCCGTGACAATAATACTGTCTTTGTGAAATAGGCATTTGATTGTTTAATCCTTATGTTCATGAGGGAAATTTGCCTTAGAAACCGTTTGAGCAACACATGTCGCTTCTGTCAGTGAATGGAACACTGTCTGAACTCTGAACAGAGTAAAGATCTTTGGGTGGCCTTGGTCTGAATCAATGCTCTGGTACGGCCTGAAGGTAACGGCGTGAAAGAAATGCCCATAAATGTTAAAAAATACTATCTTCATTTGAAAATTTTAGAGAAATTTGTTCAGCTCCATCTACGCAAACATCAGGAATTTCTAGACAAAAAACACCAGAGTCAGACCTCGGAAGCTAAGCAGCGCAGGGCCTGGTTAGAACTGTAATGGGAGACCTCTGGCAACACCAAGTGCCACAGTGAGGTGAGTGCAGCTGTGTAGTGCAAAGTGCCAAACTGTCATTGTGTCCTTAGGCAAGACACTTCACTCACATTAGAATGAGTCTGGTGTGTGTAAATGGTGGGGGTGGTGGGAAGGGCCGATGGCACATGCGGAATTTCTCCTACAGGATCAATAAAGTATCAATCTTTCTATCTACTGGTGAGTTTGCTTCTGTCAGTGTGTCCCAGGTCAGCTGTGGCATTATACTATATTCTCAAGGGTCCAAATGAAGTTTAAATGAAAGCATAAAATTCTTTAAAATGGTATAAAATTATATTTAACTTGTTCCTTGCTCTCTCAACCTTTTGCTTCAATCACTAGTTTTCACATTCATGTATTTCTGACCTCTGTCACTTCTTTTGATCCGTTTTTTCAGACAGGAAAGTGAAGGAGAGAAGACTATCCTCACTCAGCCAATCACCTCTCAGTCCAAGGAGTCATATAGTGTTTTCTTATACAGAAGATAAAAGGTTTTCTAATGAGATTACTTACCCCAGCTTTACCAGACACACAAGACTTGATAGAAGACATTATGATTATGAGACAAGGAAACAGATCTTTGACGGCAAAATCAAATTAGATTAAATTAGAGTGAGATACTGTGCGTTTACTTCCACCAGAGCGATGTGTGGCCTGCAGCGACTCTGACCCAGATTCAAAGTGGAGCCTTCAAAACCCAGAACCTTTGATCTCGCCTCAGCGCGCTTCCATTAATAAAGAATATTCCAATTGCGAGCTCCTCCTGTTTTCACGCTGCAAACTGAACTATTCAGAATGTCAGGCACCAACAAAAGCATTGACAGATGGATCCACGTAGGGGTAAGGGGAAAAACACAAACACGCGTTTTGAATGGGGAAAAGTTGTCTATTGGTTGTGACTGAAAGAGGAGGTTTAACAGTTAAAATCCACAAATATGTTACCGTGGTTACAATAGAGCTCCATTCAACTTCAACGTCTCCCCGCCCACTTCTGTCTAAAGACCTTCTTCTTCATAACTGCCTTCGATTAGGCCTTGTTTTTCACCAGCCCTACTCTACTTTGCTCTACTCTACTGTGCTCTACTCTACTGTGCTCTGCTCTGCTCTGCTCTGCTCTGCTCTGCTCTGCTCTACTCTACTCTACTCTACTCTACTCTACTCTACTCTACTCTACTCTACTCTACTCTACTCAGAACCAGAGTTAGTTTTATTGCCATTGTAAGTACCAGGAAGTCTCAAACTAGGAATTTTCTCAAGGTGCAAACAAGTTGTAAGAGAAAAAGGTTTGGGCGATGCATTACATAAAAAAATCTGTTGACTCAATAGGCAAGCTGCTGGGGTTAGCCTATTGAGATGGAAGACGCCAACATCCTTTTTGTTTAGGAAGGTTCACCTCAGAAGCATCGGTGGAAAGTAATAACGTCACTATCGTATACTGTATTTGTCTTTTATAGTAGAACCAAATAACTTATTATACATCCAACTCTCCCCAACTCCCCCAGATGTCCAACCATCGAGTTGGACATTCTTTTGTTTATTCTGCTCATATGCTTCGCTGCTAAAGTCCAATATACACATCTGTAAATACTTCCGAACCAAGTGCAATTATAGGTCCAGAGTTTATTATTGTATTCTATTTTACCATCTTATTATTTTAATTCTACTGTCTTTTATCTTAATATAAAGGAATAAAGGAATATCTTTTCTTATCTTATCTTAACACTAGCACTGCCCAATTTCTGAAACTACTAGAACTCCAAGTGGTAACGCTAATGGCGCGTTCAGACCGGATCATGCGTCGGGTTTCAATGCAAAGTCTATGAAGACGCGCGTTGCAGCGTCACAACGCACGGACCTCTCGGCCTTGCACGAACGGACTGTTCAGTAGACACGCACGGACTTGGCGGGAAAGTCAAAGGGGAGGAGCAGGAGCGAAAAATCGACGCCCACAGGAGATGGATTCTGCTCATCCTTTCCTTGGGACGTTCGTGCAAAAACCAATCAGAGAGCTGCAAAGTGGTCACGGGGACATTAGTGGACTGAGCGAGCAGACTGAAAATACTCGTAAACAGCCAAAACAGGACCCACACCAGACTTCACCAGAACTCAAACCAGGGTTGACAATGGGGGACTCTGTGCTTGTGAACATATGCGTTGTCATACTATTGTTGTATAAAACTCGTGGAAAGTCTCTGTTCAAAGACACGCTACAAAGCTGCATATTGGAGAAGAAGCCGCTAGCATAGCTCTGTTAGCATCAGAGCCAGCCGGCTACTTCCGGTACTTCCGGCTCGCGTCAGGACGTTCTGGTGTGAAGTCCTCTGCGTCTGAAAACTAGAGAATGCGCGTCTGGTGAGCGGGGCGTTTGAGCGTTTGCGGTCGTCTGAATGCACCTTAATACTTCTGACTGTTGGATTTGTTTTTTTTGTATTGTTATTGTTGCAGGTGAAGGAGCTGCCCACTTTCAAAGACACCGACTTCAAAAACAACCTCCAGAAAATCTACTTGGACCAAGACGAGAAAGAGAAGCTCCTGGAGAAACTCAACCGAGACATTGAAGTGAGTATGAAACAAGAAAGGTTCGATATGCAACAAGACAAAAAAGTGAGAGCCCCAAAATAATGACTCCAGCACTGAGCCGGAGGATCCAAGGGGAATGTCCAACGAGACACCGGGCGCTTCTCGACCCAAATGAAGATTGTTGCTTCTGTCGACTGAAAGGGTTTCCAACACGACAATAACACGTTCCAATGTTACTGCAGATCCACCTGAGATGAACCTTCAAATGTTTGTTTTCTTGAGAATATACTGTAAGCTGTATAATGAGGTAAAACAGGCCTGAAAATCCTGAAAATCAGTTCAGGGGTCTCTAAAACTGGTTCCGCAGGCGTTTGACACATTATTTAGACAGTACTGTAACTCGGCTGCTTTCTTAAGACTGTAATGGAACCAAAACTGGGGCCGACCACTGGGTTTTTTCAGGACAAAGCTACAGTTCACAATGCCCACAGAAGCAGCAACGTGTTCAGGATTATAACATCTCTTGTCCACAGTTGCCCAGAAGCTATACCCGTTTATTATAAACTGTACAACAATCACTGATGAAATGGTACAAAAGCAACGCACTGCTAACAAAATATATAACTGAAAGATTAACGCCAGTTCCGTGTCCAAATGTATTCCGAGCATAGATAGTCCGAGGCAGTCCCGCAGGTCTCTCCCATAGACAAGTTTCTCCAGAGGATACGATGTAAGCTAGCTATGTTCACCCGTGCTTGATTTATTCTTTGATAATTTTTTCGCTTTAGTTTTCTCTTCTCTTCCTCACTGTTGTGTCGTTTGGGCTGTTTTGCTTTGTCTGCAGTGACAGCAAGAGAAGTTATAGCCAAATCTGCTAACATGCTACTGTGTTTAGCAGCGCTTTAGAGGCTAGAGGAGGCGTGGCCTGTTTGTAACAGCGCCGCTCCTCGTTCTGTGATTGGAGAGCAGCGTCACGTTGCTTCTCCACTCAGCACTTTTTACGGCCTGAATTCATACACAGCTGAGTCAATGAGCTGGGTAAAAAGAGTTCCAAAAGATGTCCTTCCTGAGGCTTTCTTCCTTCTCACCTCCTTGGGTGCAGTTCCTTGTGCACTTGAGGATCATAGACTACAGTCTGCTGCTGGGCATTCATGACGTGGACCGAGCTGAGCGAGAGGAAGAGGAGGAGGAGGAAGAGGAGGAGGAGGAAGAGGAGCTCCCGGTGTCCAGCTCTCCTGAAGGCATCGCTGGGTACATGAACTCCTTCAAACCTCTGGGACCCGGAGAGTTCGACCCGTACGTGGACGTGTACGCGGTCCAGAGCGCACAGGGTGAGAGCGAAAAACGACTTTAAAATGGTTATGGGGGAGTTTCAGCGTCTATCCTTCTGTGTAGGTGGTTTAAACTAGTTTCCATATTATTCATGATTCCCTCTCACTGTTTTAATAGAATATTCCAGATTACCAGTTGCCTCTCCTTAGCCTTCTGTGCTCTCCCCTCTCTCTTAGTTATCAGAATATTCCAGATTACCAGTTGCCTCTCCTCACCTCTCTCTCTTAGTTATCAGAATATTCCAGATTACCAGTTGCCTCTCCCCACCTGTCTCTCTTAGTAATCAGAATATTCCAGATTACCAGTTGCCTCTCCCCACCTGTCTCTCTTAGTTATCAGAATATTCCAGATTACCAGTTGCCTCTCCTCACCTCTCTCTCTTAGTTATCAGAATATTCCAGATTACCAGTTGACTCTCCCCACCTGTCTCTTAGTTATCAGAATATTCCAGATTACCAGTTGCCGCTCCTCACCTCTCTCTCTTAGTTAGAATATTCCAGATTACCAGTTGCCTCTTGCCACCTCTCTCTCTTAGTTATCAGAATATTCCAGATTACCAGTTGCCTCTCCTCACCTGTCTCTCTTAGTTATCAGAATATTCCAGATTACCAGTTGCCTCTCCCCACCTCTCTCTCTTAGTTATCAGAATATTCCAGTTTACCAGTTGCCTCTCCCCACCTGTCTCTCTTAGTTATCAGAATATTCCAGATTACCAGTTGCCTCTCCTCACCTCTCTCTCTTAGTTATCAGAATATTCCAGATTACCAGTTGCCTCTCCCCACCTGTCTCTCTTAGTTATCAGAATATTCCAGATTACCAGTTGCCTCTCCTCACCTCTCTCTCTTAGTTAGAATATTCCAGATTACCAGTTGCCTCTTGCCACCTCTCTCTCTTAGTTATCAGAATATTCCAGATTACCAGTTGCCTCTCCCCACCTCTCTCTCTTAGTTATCAGAATATTCCAGATTACCGGTTGCCGCTCCTCACCTCTCTCTCTTAGTTAGAATATTCCAGATTACCAGTTGCCTCTTGCCACCTCTCTCTCTTAGTTATCAGAATATTCCAGATTACCAGTTGCCTCTCCTCACCTGTCTCTCTTAGTTATCAGAATATTCCAGATTACCAGTTGCCTCTCCCCACCTCTCTCTCTTAGTTATCAGAATATTCCAGTTTACCAGTTGCCTCTCCCCACCTGTCTCTCTTAGTTATCAGAATATTCCAGATTACCAGTTGCCTCTCCTCACCTCTCTCTCTTAGTTATCAGAATATTCCAGATTACCAGTTGCCTCTCCCCACCTGTCTCTCTTAGTTATCAGAATATTCCAGATTACCAGTTGCCTCTCCTCACCTCTCTCTCTTAGTTAGAATATTCCAGATTACCAGTTGCCTCTTGCCACCTCTCTCTCTTAGTTATCAGAATATTCCAGATTACCAGTTGCCTCTCCCCACCTCTCTCTCTTAGTTAGAATATTCCAGATTACCAGTTGCCTCTCCCCACCTCTCTCTCTTAGTTATCAGAATATTCCAGATTACCAGTTGCCTCTCCTCACCTGTCTCTCTTAGTTATCAGAATATTCCAGATTACCAGTTGCCTCTCCCCACCTGTCTCTTAGTTATCAGAATATTCCAGATTACCAGTTGCCTCTCCTCTCCCTGTTGCAGACGCTCCGCACAGGGAGGTGTACTTCATGGGACTCATCGACGTCTTGACTCAGTACGACACCAAGAAGAAGGCCGCGCACGCCGCCAGGGCTGTGAAGCACGGGGTGAGACCATGTTTTATCGGGAATTCCTCAAATAAATGCATGTCCTGTAATCCAGTTTTTCTGAATTGGATTGCATCAGAGCGTGTGTGAAGTTAGAATGTGTCTCCCGTCTTCTTCTTGGGAAGGAGGATCAGTGAGGGGCTGGTGCTCTGTGTACTGGGTGCAGCTCTGACTGCCACCCCCCGACCCAGAAATGGATTAAGGGGAAGAAAATGGATGGATGGATACATTCTTAAAACAATATTTGCCAGAGGGACAAGCCATTTAGTCTTATTTCAAAAACTATTTTTATTTTCTCATCCCAAGGGAGACATTTCTTGTATCTTTTTAAAGTAAGGGTTAGTTGGCAAATCTTGTTTTAAGGCAGTCAGAATGTGCTCAAATTAGGCTAAACCGCTAGTGTAGTTTGGTCTGATTTATTTTGTTGGTATTTTTTTGGCTTGCGTTTATTAATGCATTTTTCTACATATTCACATTTTGCTGTGACCGCGTTTATTGATTCAATTACGTCGCACCTGGATACAGCCTTTTCATTTGATTTTTTATACTAATTTAGTGCGTCATAAAATGTTATTGGATCCATTTCGCCTCTTGGTAGCTGCTATGTTACCAAGAAATTTCTCTGTATACTGATTTGTTGTGGGTTGGTTTCTAGGATACGGTTCCAGATAAAAAAAGTGTAATGGAAACACAACCAGGTAGAGTAGAGTAGAGTGTAGGGTTGGTGGAAACGGGGCTTCTTTTAACTCCTTACAATGTCTTTTGTTGAACTTTTTTTGAGGTATCTTCAATAATAGTCCTTACCAGGCTTTTACAGCGCAATTATTTTTGATTTAGAGACAATTTGTTGTTATTTAACCAAGTTTGTATCCTGTTAATTTCCACAGTTACTTTGGATAAAAGTTACTCCAAGTTTTCACCAGCACATGTAACATGTGCAGCATCAGTAAAGAGTATAGTTTTATTAAATTACATCTACATATTCAATATTAGTTCCCAGATAACAAGTTACATGTACACCTCATATTTGACCTTTTCTGAACACATTTTTAAAGTGGTGTTAAATAAAAATGGACATGATGTCCAGAATACTTATGCTTTCGGTTTTCCGGCATATTATCCAATCAGAGTTTGTTAGGTGACATTTTGCTGTGGTTGGCTTTCTATTTGAAATGAGAAACACAATTCTTTTCTAGCTCAGCCCCAGCAGGTGGACTGCTTCAGTAATGAGTGCTTATAGGAGCTGCATGTGTCACATGAAGATGTGTTATTGTAATAGCTTTATTAGACAACTAATAAGTAAGACATACTCTCAGTTTATTTATATTTCATTATGAATAATGTGGGTCCCAGTCAAGCCCCGGCGATCCAAGATGCTGCCGTATTCAAATGAATGGTCTTTTGCTCAGTGGCACATGTGCCTGCATGGGTGCTAAAAGATTATGGCGGAAGTCGCCTGGAACTCGCAAAGATCCATGGGAAACTGGATGTATTCGGGCATCGTCTGGTCCTCCCGGTTCTGCGCAGTGGATGAACTCCCATGATGCGTTGCGTAAAATACGAATGTATGGCTGTCATGCACGTGCACAGAGGGGCTCGGCTGCGCTTTGACCAATCAGAGCTGCTGATCAGAGCGGGAGTTAGAGCGGGAGCCAGACGGGCAGAGTTTGTGGCAGTAAAGTGTGGATTTAATGAAAACTGAAGGATTTAACAAGATAAAAAGTTCAGGATGACAAGGGTCACTAAAATCCCCACAAAATTTAGCTTAATTTCAGCTTTATGAAAGCTGTAGGTTCTCTGTCAGCTGAGGTCGAGCTGTTTTAGTTTACATTGAGTTCTATGGGGAAAATATCTGGGTAGCCCACGTGAATTTAGTCTGGTTTAGTCAGTACCAGAACCCCCCGAGCACACGAGTTCTTCAGCTCCAAGCTAGTAATACCCTATCCAGTTATTATAATAGATCCATGGTCCCAGTACTGACCCGTTGGGTACCCCACTCGTTACTTCCCTACAATCTGTTGTCTCTTACATAAACAGCTCTTGTTTGCTCGTCCTTGTATTTGATAGTCTTTTGTGGTAAAACTCTACAGGCTTTGCACATCTAGAGACTGACAGTTTTTCCCATTCGTCTCATAATGAACTCAGATAATGCTTAATATAATTGTTATCTGTTTTGATCATGTGATTGTTGCTTCGACAGGCTACAGCCGATAGCTCCAACGTGAACCCGGAGCAATACGCCAAACGCTTCAAGGAGTTCGTCAGCACCATGTTCGCCTGAGCCTCAGACCTCACACCTCGACCGCCCCAGACTTCGGACTGTAGGTCTTAGAGCTGAGCCTTAGAGCTGTGCCTCAGGGTGAAGCGCCTTCCTGCAGCTTTAGTTCAGCTGCTGTGGGACTGGACCCAGATGTAGCCGACTGACTCTTATCGTTTTCTGGTTTGATTGTGAAATCCTCCCTTTATCTGAAGATGATTCAAAGATATAATTGTGTTTAATGTTTAATAATAATATTACATTGATAATACATAGGGCTTTTCTGGACCCTCAAATGTGCTTCACATGTCACACACAGTAGTGATAAACTACTACTGTAGCCACAGCTGCTCTGGGGCACACCGGCAGAAGCGAGGCAACCAGTATGTGCCATTGGTCTAATTGTTTAGATCGTTTTTTGGTTAGATTGACCAATGAGAGTCGGTTGGCGCTGTGACCAAAATCCAGAATATTGATTGAATATATAATCGTAGGCCTATGTATTATTCACCTCAAGTTACAAATATGTCTAGCGTGGCACCACCTGCAGCGGAAAGCCAGATACTGTCAGACCCCTGAAGCTAAGCAGGGCAGTCTGAAGCTAAGCAGGGCAGGGCTTGGTTAGTAGCGTGATGGGAGACCTTGGGAACACCAGGTGCTACAGTGGGCCGGCTGAGGCTGTGAAGTGCCTCACTGTCGTTATGTCCTTCGCCCAGACAGTACATTCACATTTTGTGTGTGTGTGTGTGTGTGGATCAGTTCACATTTTGTTCTTTTTAAAACCAGTCTATTTTAGAGTGTGTGCTGCTACACAAACAGTAGTCAGATCCCTGCTGTGGACATCCATATTTATACTTTTGAATCATGTATTAAAACGAGAATCTAAACCATAGATACACCCACACATACATGCAAGGACACATGGTGTGGGGCAGGGGCTTTCTGGTACATGGGGATGACATCAAGAAAATTCATCCCACGATCATGAATGGAACAAGGGCTGATGATGGAACAACATTTCTTTGATGTTTAGCAAGGAACCTGTTTGAATCATTCAGTAAGCCACATACAGTGGGGCAAAAAAGTATTTAGTCAGCCACCAAATGTGCAAGTTCTCCCACTGAAAATAAAGACAGAGGTCTGTAATTTTCATCATAGGTACACTTCAACTGTGAGAGACAGAATGTGAAAAAAAATCCAGGAATTCACATTGTAGGATTTTTAAAGAATTTATTTGTAAATTATGGTGGAAAATAAGTATTTGGTCAATAACAAAAATTCAACTCAATACTTGGTAATATAACCTTTGTTGGCAATAACAGAGGTCAAACAATTACTATAGGTCTTTACCCTGTTTTCACACACAGTAGCTGGTTTTTTGTTTGAGTTTGTTTGTTTGAGTTTATTTATTTAAGTGTCATGCACAAAAGTGCCCAGCCCACATGGGCTTATATGACACTGAACAACAACATCTGATGGCTACAGACCATATACAGACCATATACAGACCATATACAGACATAAAAAACAGAAAAAGATTTACAATTTGGTGCATTATCCAGGGTACAGAATCTGTTGTCTCCTCTCCCAGGCTTTAGCAACAAAAGAAGCAAAGGCAAAAACTTCATGGCAATACATCCAGTTCATAATTTCTCGCTCAGGCCACCAAAAAACCTCTGGGTTAGAAGCATTCACTTTTTCAAATAAAATGTTTCGATATTCAAAGTAAAGTGGACAATACAAAACAAAATGAGGCTCATCTTCTACCACCCCCAGGTCACACACTGTACAGAGACGGGCCTCTTCAGGAACCGCTTTAAAGCGGCCCACCTCCACAGCTGGTATTTTGGTCCATTCCTCCATGCAGATCTTCTCGAGAACAGTGAACACGGACTTTCAACTCCCTCCACAGATTTTCAATGGGGTTGAGGTCTGGAGACTGGTTAGGCCACTCCAGTACTTTCAAATGCTTCTTACGGAGCCACTCCTTCGTTGCCCGGGCGGTGTGTTTAGGATCATTGTCATGCTGGAAGACCCAGCAACGTTTCATCTTCAAAGCTCTCACTGATGGAAGGAGGTTTTGGCTGAAAATTTCACGATACATGGCCCCATTCATTCTTTCCTTAACACGGATCAGTCGTCCTGTCCCCTTAGCAGAAAAAACAGCCCCAAAGCATGACGTTTCCACCCCCATGCTTCACAGTAGGTATGGTGTTCTTGGGATGCAACTCAGTATTCTTCTTCCTCCAAACACGACGAGTTGAGTTTATACCAAACAGTTCTACTTTGGTTTCATCTGACCACATGACATTCTCCCAATCCTCTGCTCTATCATCCATGTGGTTTCTGGCAAACTTCAGACGGGCCTGGACATGCACTGGCTTCAGCACGGGGACACGTCTGGCACTGCAGGATTTGATTCCCTGTCGTCGTAGTGTGTTACTGATGGTAACCTTTGTTACTTTGGTCCCAGCTCTCTGCAGGTCATTCACCAGGTCCCCCCGTGTGGTTCTGGGATTTTTGATCACCGTTCTCATGATCATTTTGACCCCACGGGACGAGATCTTGCGTGGAGCCCTAGATTGAGGGAGATTATCAGTGGTCTTGTAAGTCTTCCATTTTCTGATAATTGCTCCCACAGTTGATTTGTTCACACCAAGCTGCTTGCCTATTGTAGATTCACTCTTCCCAGTCTGGTGCAGGTCTACAATTCTTTTCCTGGTGTCCTTCGACAGCTCTTTGGTCTTGGCCATAGTGGAGTTTGGAGTCTGACTGTTTGAGGCTGTGGACAGGTGTCTTTTATACAGATAACGAGTTCAAACAGGTGCCATTAATACATGTAATGAGTGGAGGACAGAAGAGCTTCTTAAAGAAGAAGTTACAGGTCTGTGAGAGCCAGAGATGTTCCTTGTTTGAAGATCTCTGACCAAATACTTATTTTCCACCATAATTTACAAATAAATTCTTTAAAAATCCTACAATGTGAATTCCTGGATTTTTTTTTCACATTCTGTCTCTCACAGTTGAAGTGTACCTATGATGAAAATTACATACCTCTGTCATTGTTTTAAGTGGGAGAACTTGGACAATCGGTGGCTGACTAAATACTTTTTTGCCCCACTGTATGTCTGTCCCTGCAGCGCCCCCTGGGGGCTGGACTCAGCTGAAAAAGAGACAGACAAAGCAGGAAAATCCTGGTTAAATGTCAATGAAACAATGACAGACTCAAGGAGGGGCGCCTTAGGATACTCATCTTGATGTGTGGCGCAGTGGTTAGCACGTGTGCTACACAGCAAGAAGGATCCGGTTACAATTCCACCTTCAAGCCTTTCTGTGTGAAATTTGCATACTTTCTCCATATCTGTACAGGTTTCCACCAGGTGCTCTGGTTTCCCCTACCATCAAAAAACTTGTACAATAGTCCCCCTTTCACAACCTCTTGGAGCCCTGGTCTCCTCTAACATCGGCCCTGTTTAAACCTGCAGCTTCCATCGAGCAAAAAACACCAATTTATACTAATCTTCAATTCATATATTTCCTTTTGTCTCTTGTTACTTGCTCCTTCATCATCATTGAACTGTTTCAGCTCATTTCTGCCATCAGTCTTTTGAAGATAAAGCAGAGATCTCGTTTCTCAGCTGGAAGAGGTTCTTTTGTTTGATAGATGTATCTGTATTCAAGGCCGGTGTGCTTTCTGCTCCGGCGATCCTCCTGAAAGCCTTCTCTGAGCTCGCCGTGTTATGAAAGCATTTATATCAGAGTGGAGCGGGATTAATGCGTTTGTTTTGAGAGGAAATCTTGCACAATATTAGTCAGAAAGCTCCTTGCGGCTGCATAAACGTCAGCGGCGATAAGACTGGGCCATGTGTTCCTGCAGAGAAGCAAGAGCAGATCAAAGCCGCTCTGTGTGACTCCCACAGACTCCAAAGCTTTGATTAGAAAAGAGATTTTAATCATGTAACAATACTGTGTTTTTAGCTCAACCCCGGCAAAAATTAGGATCTTCTGACACAAACATGTCCCCCATCCCTTCTGTGTATATGCTCCATGCTGTTATGAATCCACTGATAAAACACAGAAATTTTGCTCTAAAACCCAAGATTGCATCTTCCTTCCACACTGAGGGATGCATTTAACCCGCCTTGTGACTTAGTTTAAAAGCAAGTTGTTTTGTAGGCTGTTGGTTGGACTGTGGCGGCTCTTTCCTTTATAAAGACCCGAACCAAAACCAAGACCGTTGTAGACCCAGACCAGACCCAGACCATACCAAACCCGACCAGAACAAGACCAGACCAAGATCATGTATGTATATATGTACTTTATTTATATAGCGCCATGGTCACCCAAAGAGTTCAAATATTTTTTTATTCTCTCCACACACTGTGATGACGGAAGCAAGACACCAAAACACTGGCACATCAAAGCCCTCAACCAACACCATCCATTCACTCGATCAAGACCGGACCGCACCAAAACCAGTTGTCGGAAAAAGTCTCTCCACATGGATGAGAAACTCCTTGTAGTCCATTTCAATGGGAAGCTGCGACTTCCCTGTCTAAGTGAATTTGTATTGCCCATTTCATACCAAAACCTCACGCAGACCTTTTATCACCTTCACCTATCCCACATGTGAGCAACGGCTATAAAACATTTTGCGTTTTATTTTGGTCTAAATTACTGTTACCGTAAGTGTTCATGCTGGAGACTAGCGCCCTCTACACACCACAAGCGCAAAGAGCTTCTCTCTACTGCTGTCTCTGTGTAGTCAATGGAGAAGTAGAGGACAGTACAGGCCAGATGACTGCAGTCAGAGGTATGTGTTCGTCCTCATGGTCTCTGTGGTTGGTCTGGTCAGACACGAGAATATCTGAAAGAAAAACACAAAGTCCAGAATCATTGTCAAACCTGCGCCTCCTTCTAATATTTAAATACAAAAGCTCACTGCACAAGTCTTTCTGCTTCAAAAGATGTGTGGTTTGTAGGGGATGTAAGTTGGAAAGTGGGTGGAATGCCGAGTCGTTTTGACACACCAGCCTGTGTCTCTCAATGAAGAAAGAAGAGGCGACCTGGGGTTTTTGGAGAAACACATGTTTTTTTTTGCTCACTGTGAAATATGTTTCTGTAATAGTTTCTCCTCCTGTTTGACGTTCTCTGTGTTCAGCGCAGATCTGTCCTGGCTTCTATGTGGAAGTCTTTGAGTGAGAAGTAGGTCATCAAAGCAAGAAAAAGTCTCAGTCTAATGATGCTGCGACTGGAGAAACTGGAGCACGACTCGAGACACTTCATCAAACTGTATCATACTGTCGATTCTAGACCTGGATTTGCCATTTGTGGGGATCTGGTTCACTGAGCACTTCTCTTTTGGCGAATGCATGACTAACATTATCACTAACACATAAAGAGCAGACTAGTGAGTTTGGGCCGACACCTGAGTCTTTGTACGTTTGCACTTGTGTTTTACTCCTTCCATTTCTGAACAATGGCTTGAACAGTCCTCTGGGAGATGTTCAAAGCTTTAGGAATGGTTTGTATAACTGTATAACCCAGCTTCAAATGTCTCCACAGCCACCACCTTGACCTCTCTGGTGTGCTCCTCGGACTTCAGTACACTCCGACCATACCTCTGAGGACCTTACAGAACACTATACACGGTGGTGATAAACTACTGCTTCAACCAGTCTGTGCCATCGGCCCATCCCACCACCAACCATTCACATAGACATGAACTTATTCTATCATGCCCTGCTTAGCTTCAGAGTTCTGAGGGGATCTGGCTTTCACCTACAGGTGGCGCTATGTGGAGTGATTAAAAAAATTCTAATTTGTTCACAGATTTAGTTTCATTATGGGAAAGAGGTATAGGGTCATATAGTGTTTGGGCAGGTGTCTTGTATGAGTGAATGAACTGGTTGTCCCCACCCCCTTCCCTGCCTGGGATCCTCTTCAGTCCTGGATCTACAGCTTCAGTCCTGGATCTACAGTTTGTTTGTTCATGGGAGCAGATCCTTCACTCGGGACTCCCCGAGAATTGTGACTTTTGTCCCACTGGGTTTTTCCATGGTTCCTTGCCCATGCAGAAGGATCAAAGGTAAGTGACGATCCATGACATTTCTGAACAGTGGTCATCCCGTCCCTATGGACCGATGGATCCTATGTGTTTGGTGTTTTTTCATTTCCTGTGTTTGAACTATTTGATTCTCTGATCTGATCTGTCCCAATTTCATATACATTTTATCTTTACCTTTTTGAGCTACCTTGCTGAATAACAATCCGACACACTCTGTCAAACACACATGAAGAACCGACACGGAGGCGCAGTCGTTTGGGCAGTATCTTGTATTGATAATCTATGAGTTGTCGCATGAGTAAAAAAATACAGATGGAAAGATTACGTCACACGAGAAACACAAATACAAACATTACTGCATGAATAACGCATGGTCAAACCGGCGGCCATCTTTCCTTTAGAACGCGATAGAATCTGCAACAGTCAAGGCTCGTTCCAGACCAAAGGAAAGATTCTAGAACCGTCAGAAAACCGCAAACATTCACCGTAGTTTTACTGCATCGATACATTCAACCAGTTCAGGTACACAGAACAGCTCCACGACTCAGACAGAGGGCAGAGGAGAGCTTACTGTCAGGGTATTGGCACCCCTAGTGGTCATTTCAATACATTTGTACATTAATAGCCACTAAAGCCCTGTTTCCACCAGCCCTACTTGGCTTGACTCTACTCTACTTTGCCCAACTCTACCTGGTTGTGTTTCCATTACATTTAAGTATCTGGCACCATACCGACCCACAACAAACCAATACCTGGGGATATTCCTTGGTAACCATGGCTTCCAGCAGCACTCCGGCCAATCACTGTCAGTTAGAACACTTTACCAGCTCGGGGACTACGAGTTTTAGTCCCCAAGTCGGACTAAAGAAGGACCTGGGACCGGTTAAACAGGGCAGGTGGAAACACGGGGTTGAGAAGAGTTAGAATAGTAGAGTAGAGTAGAGTAGAGTAGAGTAGAGTAGAGTAAGGCTGAGAGGGCTGGTGGAAACAGGGCTTTAAAGCTAGCATGTGTACATCTGTGAATACTTATGGATTTGTTGGTTTCGCAGCAGTACATTCACTAGCTCCAAACAATGTTGTATTATTGTATCGTGATGGTAGTTGTCACAGTGTAAAATCATCACGAAAAAGGATTTTTTTTAGAACTCAATCTGGTCATTTGATAATGTAGTAGAATTAGTAAAAGTAGTAGAAGTAGTAGTAGTAGTAGTCGCAGTTGTTGTAGTAGCAGTAGCAGTAAACCATCCTTCTGCCCTCCATCTCTCAGTGCCGTGCTTTCTCTTCTAAAAAGTTGATTTCTAAACTAAAGTCCAAACTCGTCCACACACACTGTACAAATAAACCCTTTGATCATCTCTGTACAGGCTGCTCCTACTGTTAGACATAGTACTATAGTATTTTATGAACACAATATCTTCAAAGACATTCATTTGTATGGAGTCGATGACGTAACAAAGTGATGCTAGCTTAAGCCAAAGTCCATGTAAAAAACTGTTCAAATACTGCATGACGAAAACGAAGGAGATCGGCTGGTTTACAGTGCAATACATTCCGCTTCAGTCTCCGGGCGAACATGAACGCCTGGATAAATGCAGATTTTATTATCGAGTAAAAAAAAAAAAAGTATCTGTCCACATGTTGGTCATAGAAAAAACATTGTCGCTGTATTTACATGTTTTAAGCTCAAAATCGTTCAAATTCACGCAAGGAATTTCACACAATGTCTCAAACGGTGAAGAAGCAGTGAACTCTCTGGATGTGTTGGAGAAACTCAAGACAAAATATCTTACTATTGTTTCTTTCACAGACATTTTGGCACACAAGCCCTATCCACGCTGCATTACTTTTACCATAGGACTTATATTCCAATAATCGTACTAGAGTGGTCCCTGGTTGAATACGGGGGTGATGCGATCGAAAACACTTTATTTCACCCGCAATAAGTGAAATCCTTGAAGTAGCAGCTGTATGTTTTAAGGCTGTAAAACCTCTCACCACACACTTTTTACACTGTTCTAACCACCTGAATACAACTGCCAAAGTGCGATTGTCGAGATATCAAACCTGTTGGTTGTGAATTTGCAGCTGTCAAAGCCGTGCATAGACTGTGAAATACATCTGCAGAAGACACCGCACGAGTGGGACTGAGGGCTATGGGAAGACTAGAGAGAGACCAGAGAGAGACTAGAGAGAGACCAGAGAGAGACTGGAGATAGAGACCAGAGAGAGACTAGAGAGAGACCAGAGAGAGACTGGAGATAGAGACCAGTGAGAGACTAGAGAAAGGGACCAGAGAGAAACCAGAGAGAGAGACCAGAGAGCGACAGGAGAGAGAGCAAAGAGAGACAGCGGTAGTCCTCTGAACACTACAGTGCACACAAGCCATTTTTCTTCCAACTTTATATACCTGTCATGTCATACTAGCGGTTAAATGATGTCGTTGTAGTCTATACCAAGTGCATGAGAAGCACGGTGTTAAAAAAAAAGCAAAAGTGCACACACAAAAATGTATTAAACAATGAGACCTATTCTTGCTGCCTTAGTTTTACCTCGGGACCTGAGAAATGACAATACGAACGATCCCTGACTGTGTAAAATCGTACAAAGTGTGTTAAAAGTTTTCCTCCTATTCCAGCAGTTACTGATGAACCGGGTTCTGTGTGAATGTGGGAGTTGTGCTCTGGACTTGTAGCTAATATTTGGTCAAAGTGTGTGACCGATATTGGATGTTTCTGGGATTGGGTATCGGTCGGATCAGTTAAAGTTGAGGTGTCCAAAGTTTTTAGTAAGAGAGGGACTAGTAATTGCTCACAGTTCTGGGATGATCTACACCGAACAGGTTTTGAAATCTCTTCAGGTGCTGAGAGAAGTGTATAAAGTTTGTGTCGAGGGGTTTCTCAGACTTAAAACATACAGCTGCTACTTCAAGGACTTTACTCATTGCGGGTTATCTTTAGAACACATCACCCCGGCAAATACATCTTAGAAATGTCCCGAAGTGAAACAAGTCACATAGGGCATAAATATTCTTTCAAACAAACTTTCATAATACATTCAATATTCTTCTCAACAGTCTAAACCTTTAAATGCTCTGATTATGGACTGAGACAAACCCGCGAAGACAAAACCTGCATTTATACCAGGTGCATGTGTCCGGCCCTTTAGAATACCATCCATTGGAACGCTGTCATCCGTTAAATCCCTTTCAATTTTTTTGGTTAGAACTCCAGTCTTGGGCACTTGGCAGAATCCGGCGCCCGCAACCCGAGTCTCCGTGGCCTCTTGAGCGAGCGAGCGAGCGAGCCCCCACTCTCACCCACATTGCGGTCCCGCACCGACACAAAACCGAAACCTCGCCGCAGACTCATCTCAGCTTCACAAAGTTTTTTTTTCTACGAAACGGCGCGGCGTGAGGTGCTGTAGCTGAGGCTGGTCCCCCCGCCGGGCGTCTTGTGGGTGGTGATTTTGAGCGTCGTGGCCACGGTCAGACCCGGGTTCATGGGGAAAGCGGGGGGAGTGTGAGTGGAAGAGAAGCCCACCGCGGAGGAGGAGAGCGGGGAAGAGATGGAGGACAGGGTGGCCTCGTTGGGACAGCCGTGTTGCAGGAGGATGTCCACGCACTCGGGGCTCCCCGCAATGCGCGCCACGGCCAGAGCGGTCTGTCCCTGTGCGTCCCGGTACCGCACGTCACAGCCATACTGAGGGAGAGAAGCGTGATTAGGATACTTGCTATTGAAAAATTAGGAAAAAGTCCGGACAAAATGGTTTTTCTCTGGCTTCTTTCTCTCTGGGTACACTCTGGTCTCTCTTTAGTCTCTCTCTGGCTAGACTCTGGTCTCTCACTGGTGTCTCTCTGGTCTCTCTCTGGTGACTCTCTGGTCTCTCTCTGGTCCTTCTCTGGTCTCTCTCTGAGGGCTGAATGAGGGTGGTCCTCTCTTTTCACTATTTCTGTCTGAAAAAGTTTATCAAAAGTTGTGACAGGGGCCGACACAAATACCTGCTTTTTTGTGGTTTGAAAGTTAGGTACCTCAGCTTTAATAGTGAATTATCAGCAGGCATTTCGGAGGATGAGACTAATTCTATTTTCGCTGTTGTAAAAAGTATATTTGACAGCTCTAAAACGCTCCTCTGTGTTGGCTCCTTTCATCAAAGCGACGGCAGCTGCTGAGTCGGCGCATCAGGCTCCGGTCGCAGGGGTTTGTTTGGACCACTCTGCTTTAAAATGTTTCATTCTGACATATATTACCGTGCATTTTGCCAACAGTTCCTTCACGCCACCGTCCTGTATAAAGTATTGTGGATGTTTGGGCTCCGACAGTAACCGCTACTGTCGGAGCTCCTGGAGGTCCTCAGTCTCAGGCAAAAATATCAAATACTGCTTTACTGCTGGCTTTCTCGTGACGTCTAAATTGGCGTTCACCATCGTTGTGCCCCTTGATATTAGCCTGACCTCCCAGACGCCCACACCCCTCACCTCCCAGACGCCCACACCCCTCACCTCCCAGACGCCCACACCCCTGACCTGCTAGACCCCCACACTCCTCACATGCTAACATTAACACGTCAAACTAGACTGAAATACCAAGCGTTTTACTTCCACAGGTGGGAATCCTCAGAGCGTTGGTCCTGAAAACTATCTCTTGTCTTTCTCTCTTTTCCCAACAACATTAACGCCACAGAGAGATTCAGTGAAATGACAGACCAAATCAGAAAAAAATTAAATAAAATATTAAGACTGATACTTCCATTGGTGTGAATGAATCTCAGAGCGTTTGGTCTCTTGGTCTTTCTCTGGCCTCTCTTTCTGGTTTTCTCTCTCTCTGGTCTTTCTGGTCTCTCTCTGTTCTCTCTCTCTGATCTCTCTCTGTTCTCTCTCTCTGATCTCTCTCTGGTCTCTTGGATCTCTCTGGTCTCTCTCTCTGGCCTCTCTCTGGTCTCTCTCTGTTCTCTCTCTCTGATCTCTCTCTGGTCTCTTGGATCTCTCTGGTCTCTCTCTCTGGCCTCTCTCTTTAGTCTCGCTCTGATCTCTCTCTGGTCTCTCTCTTTAGTCTCTCTCTATGATCTCTCTCTGGCCTCTCTCTTTAGTCTCTCGCTGATCTCTCTCTGATCTCTCTCTGATCTCTCTCTGGTCTCTCTCTTTAGTCTCTCTCTGATCTCTCTCTGGTCTCTCCCTCTGATCTCTCTCTGGCCTCTCTCTTTAGTCTCTCTCAGGTCTCTCTCTTTAGTTTCTCTCTTTGGTCTCTTTCTCTGATCTCTCTCTTTGATCTCTCTTTGGTCTCTCTCTCTGGTCTCTCACACTGACCCAGAGCAGCAGCTGCGTCATCACCACGTCGCCGTGAGCACAGGCGGCGTGCAGCGCGGAGGCGGGCAGGCGCAGGGCGAGCAGTGCACGGGACGACAGCGCGGTGCTCAAGGGCGCGTTCATGTCCTCGCGGCTGCAGTGCGCCAGCAGCAGCAGCAGCTTGGGCAGGTTGTGCTCCATCACGGCCAGTAGGAGGCGCCCTGCCAGAGTGATGTCCGGCCCCTCCCCTGGCGTGGGGGGCGGCAGCGGCGCCACAAACAGCTTCTGCTCATACTTGGCCCGGATCCACGCCTCGCGCTCCTCCCTGAGTCAGCAGAGAAACAGAGGACAGACGGAGAGAGTTACATCAGAGAGAAACAGCAGCAGATACTGAATATTATTGACTTCAGGCTCCTGTGCGCTCCCATTATTCATCTCGTTTATCAAGCTGGGACTAAAGAAGACACCAGATTTATGCTGAGACACTTACATTATGTACGAGGCCAGAAACAGACAAAACCTAAAGCTGGGCTACGTCACTTTGAAAACCACAAAAGAAGTAACTGTGTAATAAAATTGCTTAGTTTTTCATGAATTTTTCCTTCTCTGTCACATCTTTAGATCAGCTTTTATGGTTTAATTTTCTCTCTGGTCTCTCACTGTGGTCTCTCTTTGGTTTCTTGCTCAACTATGGTCTCATTCTTTTCTCTCTGGTCTTTCTCTGGTCTCTCTCAAGTCTCTCTGGTCTCTCTGTCTTCTCTCTCTCCCTGGTCTGTCTCTGGTGTATATCTCTGGTCTCTCTCTCTAGTCTCTCTTTCTGATCTCGTTCTCTGGTCTCCCACTCTGGTCTCTCTCTCTCTCTCTGGTCTCTGCCTCTCTGGTCTCTCTCTCTCTGGTCTCTGCCTCTCTGGTCTCTCTCTCTCTGGTCTTTGCCTCTCTGGTCTCTCTCTCTGGTCTCTGCCTCTCTGGTCTCTCTCTCTCTGGTCTCTGCCCCTCTGGTCTCTCTCTCTCACGGGTATCTCCCTCTCTGGTCTCTCTCTGGTTACTCTGCGTGATGTTGGCCAGACATGATATGAATAATATTATTAGTTACCCAAAAAAGAACATCCCGTGATGCATGCGATTGCCCTGGGTACATACCGTGATGCTTGCGGCGCGGGCTTGCGGTTGCCGTGGGTGCGGTTCTCCCATATGCTGTTCACCAGTTGGTTGCCGATGGCGCTCAGCACAAGGGTAAGCTCCCGCGGCAGGTCGTCCAGGTCCAGGCTGCGCACTCGGGACACGTGCGTCCCCAGGTTACGGTGGATCCCAGAGCACTCGATGCAGAGGAGCGCGCCCAGGTTCAGACTGGCCCAGGTCGGGTCTGCATCAGGACACACAGGACGGTTAGAGTCCAGGCCCAGTAGAGCTCGCAACGCAGATAATCTATATATGTCACTACATATTTTTTTTAAAGGCATCAAAAGTTGAATATCGCCATACAGTAATAAACCAGTATTTACAAGCTGCAGCAAAGAAAAAGATTCTGAAAAAGGGTGAGCAACAAAAGAAAAAACCAGGAACCAACAGTTATAGTATTTGTGTCACAATGGATCGTTTCTATGAGTGTCCAGAACAATGCACTAAAACCCCGTTTCCGCAAACTCTACTCTGATCTACTCTACTCTGATCTACTCTACTCTACTCTACACTGCTCTTATGTACGCTGCTCTCTTCTACTCTAACCTACTGTGCTCTACTCTGCCCTACTCTACTTTATTCAACTCTTGTCTAGTCTACTCTGTTCTTGCTATTCTTCTCTACTCTAACCCTATTAGGAGTGTTTCCACTGGCCCCCCACTAAGCAAACCAATGACGAAACAACAAGTTTTCCCAATGTCATCTGGACCTCCAAATTTGATGCCGATTGCACGTCCATTCAAGGTCGAAATGTGGTACAGAACTATCCTAGCGACGTCTTATATGACCATAATAATGACTCGGTCCTTGTTCTATCCAGGCCGAGCTGGTACTACAGTGATTGGTCAGAGTGCTGCTGGGAGCCATTTTTCTGGATACTGGTTTGTTGTCGGTAGGTTGCTACGAAACTGTACCAGGTAGCTAAAGCGTAATGGAAACGCTAGCTTCCATGAGCACTTCCCTATTGGGCTTGCATTCAACAACTGATAGTCAATTGAAATAATACATTAACCTTTCCCGTCTCCTTGTGCCAATACATTTCTTGTGCTAGTTTTAGTCACATAATAACTCAGCATCAAAACATGAGAAATGACGGCTGTTTGTGCCTCTCATGTTACATCACAGACAGAAATAGACTCGACTGAAGCTGCATTCGGGAAACTGGCCTCCTACGCAGACAAGCAACACAGCACTGCACTAAACGAGGTACTTTGAGATTCTAGCGTGGGCCCAATCCAACAGGAACACGCTCTCACCCAACAGTATTCAAATAATCCTTTAAAATACATGCTGCAGAATAGGTTTTGCTATTTTGTTTTGTCCTTTGCAAAGACTAAGCAGAGGCTGTGGGCGTTTTCCACACTGCAGACCTGGTGTCTTAGTCCAGGATCAAACAGTGTGTCGACCTGGGATAACAGTGGGAAAGGTGAGCGGGTTGTTTGGACCTGTGTCGACCTGTACACCAGGAGACAAGATCGTAAAAGAACAAATAAGATAAGATAAGATAAGATTGCTTTATTTATCTCACAGAGGAGAAATTTACATGTCACATTTGGCATGGATAGAGACACTCAGATTGTGCAAAGGGAGGAAATGTAAAAATATAATATTTTTAGAAAATATAAAAGAGCCAAATCAAACTCTCAGAATATGTTCTCTAAAATCACTGGTAAAATCTTTAGTTTTGCTCTGGATCTGGTTCTGGTCTTGGTCTGAATCTTGTCTTGGTCCAGCTCTGCTCTTGGTCCAGGTGTGGTCTTAGTCTGGACTTGGTCCCCGTCTGGGTCTGGTTATGGCCTTAGCCCGGGTCTGGTCTTTGTCTGGTCTTGTTCCAGGTCTGGTCCAGGTCTGGTCCAGGTCTGTTCCAGGTCTGGTCCAGGTATGGTCTTGGTCTGGCTTTCATAGAGGAAAGAGCGGCGCGTGGAACAGCCCAAACTCTGAGCGAGAGAGCCTCACTCACCCAAACGCAGCTCCACGGCTCGTTACCCCTAATGTGACTGTGAGCAGAACCTGAAAGCAGAACTCACTGGGAGCGTCGCAGTCCACGCAGAAGCCGTTCCCGGTGGCGTTCCGGATGGCCTGAAGAACCATGGCGTCGCTCTGGCTATTCCGTCCGTCCTGGAACACAAACACATCACATTGAAGCTGAGGTCCCTAACTTTCAAATCACAAAAACTGTTACTGTGTAAAACAATCCCTGTCAGTAGTTCCTGGCTCAGTGGCCGTGTATGAGGAGTGGACTGTCATGGAAGGGGCCGTGTGAGTTGTGTCTACGTGTGTTTGACTGCTGTAAATGAGCGATATGAATGTGAGGTTTTAATAAATAGTGCACGTGAAGACTTTTATGTATTTGGCCAATTGTAGACTGTACATCCATGTATGTTTGTTATATTTAATGTAATACCATAACAGCAGCCTGTCCAGGGACTATGTGTGGAAATTAGCTCTTGAGCTATAACCTGCTACAAAGCATCTATGTTTTTGAGGTTAATGTTAATTGTACACTGTCCCTGTCATCTTAAATAAAAAGACTAAACTAAACTTAAGTTTCTCCTCTGAAAGAATGCATCTGATTGGACAATATAAAAATAAAAACATCATATCACAGAGAGCGCTACACCACGTTTTTGTAAGTCCAAAATTGACACAAACTAGCTATATTGAGCTAGCGGGTCAGCATTGTCCATCTGTATACAGTCGAGGCTCGAAAAAAGTTTGCTTCTATCCCTAGCTTCATGTATTTTCACAACTTTTGATCAGCTTTTTCAGACAGAAAAGTGAAAACGAGGGCCATCCTCACTCAGCCAATCAGCTCTCAGCCCAAAGAGTCAAAACCCCTACACAAATGTTTTCTGATAAGATGAAGACAGCATGTTGTGGTCTGTGATCTTTCTGTTTGACAAACTACATGTGTTATTTATGAAGACAAAAGTTATGATGAAAATCATTGACTTATTCATGAGAAAAACACATTTTGACAGTGTCAGAGAGAAAAAAAAGAAAAGAAACAGAGCCTCTTCCGTCTCTTCAGATGAGGTTAGGGTCTTATCATATTATACACAGGATATTTCAAACTTGAAACAAAAGAGAACAATCTGTGTCTATTTTTAGCTCAACCCAGTTACTGTATGCCACACTCAGGCTGACAAATGTGTGTTTTAAAACATCACATTTTACAGTAGAATAGAAGAAAAAAATCATCTTTGAAATGATTCTTGTTGTTACTAATAATAGAAGAAATGCATGTATAGAAACCTGTATAATGGAGTAAAAGACAACAACATGCTGTTGTTATCTTATCGGAAAACATGCCCTGTGAGTCACTATTTGACTCTTTGGGCTGAGAGCTGATTGGCTGAGTGAGGGTGGTCCTCTTTTTTCGCTTTTCTGTATTATTTTTGCATTATATTTAGCATTAGCCTATACTAAATGGTGTTGGTCACATTTATCTCAAAACGCTTCACATCAAGGAACTAATCACTCAAACACACATTAAAGCGTACGAGTGTGAGTAAATATAGGCTCAGTTTGCAGCCTTTGACTAAGTCCAGTTTCATGGTAGCTGTGGTTCTGGAACAGTCTATAGTGAAGAGTTGATCACAGATGAACAGATTTGTTCCAGATTTCGCAGCTGAATAAAGTTCAGCCACATTCAACGTATTGCTTCATCACATATTTACACCTGAACACATGTTTTGTTGACATGATGCTAACACTCGTCGACAGAAACAGTCAAAACAACAGAGCTCGATGTGAAGCGAACAGACCGTGGAAATAGATTAATGACTATGGTCCTCGCGGGACACACGCTGATTCAGTCACGTTTGTCTGTTTTGATTGAAAAAACTACTTTGAGCATGTTTAGGAAGGCCAAAAGCGTAATATGAGACCTATATACTGCCTACCTCATACCATGGAGAGTGACCCAAGAAATGCATAAATACATTATATATATATATATATATATATATATATATATATATATATATATACATATATGGGAAAATATTGGTTGATCTTAAACTTTAGTTCCCTCCAGATCCGGTCGTGTTGCTCCCAGTCTGATCCAGGCTCCATCTGTGACAGAGTCCACACCAGAGCAGAGGCTTTGGCGTCCTGCTCCATGTTATGGAGATGTATGATTCCAGAGCGAGACGTAACCACAAGAAACTGGCCCCGGGGCGAAGCGCGGCTTGTGCTGAATATTCATGCACTAAAAATATCTGCTGATATAGTCTCAGGGTCTATTCTTACACAGACACTGAGAGGAAAACAAACACAAGAGCGTGTTTAAGAAGCTACTCAGGCTCTGTACGCGTCCGCACAATAAAAAATATTTATATATTCTTGAGCGTTTACACACAGTCGGAAATGTTGTTTTGTCCGTGACTCACTCGAATGAAGCCATTTCTTTCAATTTTCCAAAGATAATGTCAGAAACTCCTCTTCTCTGATCAATAGCATCCCCCAGTTCTCAAAGTGTGTGTTGCTTCCACAGTCTGTATACAGATGGACAATAACCCACTAGCTCAATGAAGCTCAATAGGGAAGTTCTCATAGCGAAGTTTGGTTCGCTCTGGCTCCTAGTGACTTTATGTAAAAATAAACTCTCTCTCAGTAACTGTTTGTGTCACACTCACCATTTTAGACTTTAAAAACCTGTGGTTTTTCACTCTCTGTGATCTTGGTGTTTGTATTGTGTCATAATCTTTGTAAATCCTACTATAGAAGGATTGACCAATCAGATGTCTTCGTTTGTGGGAGAAACTTAAGCTTGCCTTAAAAACCATCTTAGCAATAGTAGAGTGGAGTTTACAGCTGCATATTAGTCCTCTAAGCTGTTGTTCTGGGTGCTCTCACAGGACAGTGGTACCTTGTTCTGGGTGCTCTCACAGGACAGTGGTACCTTGTTCTGGGTGCTCTCACAGGGCAGTGGTACCTTGTTCTGGGTGCTCTCACAGGGCAGTGGTACCTTGTTCTTGGTGCTCTCACACAGCTGCAGACTGGCCAGGATCTGGCTCTCGATGGCCTGGACCCACGCGTCACGCTCCTCCACACTGCCGGCCTCAAAGTGCCACGTCTGCCCAGAGCTGGACACCACCATGAAGTCGAAGTTCTCCTCGTCTGCAGGACACAAGGACAGAAGTTCAGATCCATGCAGCTGACATCTGGAACAGTCTTCCTGAGGTCGTGAGACAGGCCTCTACTCTGACCATGTTCAGAACTCGGTTGAAAACAGATTGCTATGTGAGGGAGTGGTGTTTTTGCCATATTGTGGGGTCAGTGGTCTGAGCGAGAGACGGTCAGAACTCCATATCCACACACACTTCCTACAGCTCATCCCGGGAATCCTGAGGCATTGCCAGACCAGCAGAGACCAGCAGTCCCTGGGTCTTCCTCTGGTCTCTTCTCAGTGGGACATGCCCAGAACACCACCCCAGGAATGCGTCCAGGAGGCATCCAAAAACAGATGCCCGAGCTATCCCAACTGGCTCCTCTCTATGTGGAGAAGCAGCGGCTCTAATGCAAGCTCCTCCCATGTGACTGATGTCCTCACCCTCACTCTAAGGGAGAGACAAGAAAGACCAAAGTGGGACCAGGACAAGAGACCAGAGAGAGACCCCAGAAAGAGATAAGAGAGAGACCAGAGTGGGATCAGAGAGAGAGAACACAGAGAGATATCAGAGACCCCTCACACTATCTCTAAGGGAGGAAAACTCATTTGGACCGCTTGTATCCGCGAGGGGGGGAGTAGAGCTCTGACAACAGACGCTGCTCTCTCTTCACCACAGCAGTCCAATGCAGCGGCCGCATCACTGCACTTGCTGCATCTTTCCCTCTCTGAGAACAAGACCTGAGATTCTTGAACTCTTCCACTTGAGGCTAATGTCGTTCCATCCCAATAAACCGTGTGCAGAGGCATTTGAAACAGACACATGTGACAGATAGGCGGCGCAGATGCATGCTGGGAGCTCACCTGTCTTGCTGACGTTCCTTAAGCTGCCGAAGCTCTTGAGTTTCCACATTTTCCGCTTGGCTGCAGACAGAGATGAGAAACGTCACTATGAGTGGAACGGTTACATCGCTCACAAAAGAAAAGCACAACAACAGAACAATCTATGAGACTGAAAGACTGAAAGACTGAGGGGAGAGAGGAGAGGGGAGAGAAGAGAGGGGAGAGGGGAGAGGGGAGAGGGGAGAGGAGAGAGGAGAGAGGGGAGAGGAGAAAGGAGAGAGGAGAGAGGGGAGAAAGGAGAGGGGGGAGAGGAGAGGGGACAGAGGAGAGAGAGGAGAGAGAAGAGAGGGGAGAGAGGAGAGAGGAGAGGGGAGAGAGGAGAGAAGAGAGGAGAGAGGAGAAAGGAGAGAGGGGAGAAAGGAGAGGGGGGAGAGGAGAGGGGACAGAGGAGAGAGAGAGAGAGAGAAGAGAGGGGAGAGAGAGAGAGAGGAGAGGGGAGAGGGGAGAGGAGAGAGGAGAGAGGGGAGAGGGGAGAGGAGAGAGGAGAGAGGAGAGAGGAGAGAGGAGAAAGGAGAGAGGGGAGAAAGGAGAGGGGGGAGAGGAGAGGGGAGAGAGGAGAGAAGAGAGGAGAGAGGAGAAAGGAGAGAGGGGAGAAAGGAGAGGGGGGAGAGGAGAGGGGACAGAGGAGAGAGAGGAGAGAGAAGAGAGGGGAGAGAGGAGAGAGAGGAGAGAGAAGAGAGGGGAGAGAGGAGAGAGGAGAGGGGAGAGAGGAGAGAAGAGAGGGGAGAGGGGAGTGAAGAGAGAGGAGGAGAAGGAAGAAGGGGAGAGAAGAGAGGTGAGATGAGAGAGGAGAGAGAAAAGTGAGATGAGAGAGGGGAGAGGAGGAGAGAGATAACTGTAACGCAGAGAGCAAGTTGGGAGAGCAGAGCAGCCAACATGTACTTCAGTATGAGTACCATTGATATTGGTCAGTTTTAAGTACAATTCAATTAAATGTGTTTGTGTCTTGGAGGACCTTACAAAGTTGTTGAATCGCCAACAACAGATCAGAGAATCAAACAGTTCAATCACAGGAAATGCAATAATAACAAACACATAGGAGCCATAGGTGCAGGATGCAGGAGGATCACTGTCCAGAAATCCTTATAAAAGTCCATAAATGTCCCGGATCATCACTGTCCATAGACTTTAAGACTCTCAAAGGTCAGTGGGATCCTTTGCAGAGGTGCTTGACAACCACCATTGAAAGCTCACAACTTGATCAAGTAATTTCCTACACGCTTGAATTGCTCGGATTTTCTCTATTTTTGACATGAATCCGGCTGGGAGCGGCAGTGTCTGCTGATGCTAGCTACAGACGAGATGCTAGGCTAGATCAGGCAAGTCCAAACTAAGACTGGCCTGGAGGCCCTGGTTATGTGGCCCTCTGTTGCTAACAAAAAGTAGCCTTTGAGCCCCATAAACACAAGTTCACAGAGTCATCCAGCCAACTTCAGCTCTCCCAATATATTTATGCTGTACCTCGTTGTCCAGCCGTTGATTTTGATTTTGTTTCCAAAGCTTGTATATGACGCTCATCATGTGTCATTCCCCAAGTCAATATATGATGACATACCCCATTTGAAAGCTCAGAACAGCATGAATCCAGTCAAAGCAGTTTTTCTCTCTGGGTTGTTGGCCCCAGGACCTGGGTGGTTTAACTAAAGAGGCCCTCTTACGACCAGGTTTGGGCTAGAACAATGATGATTGTCAAGCAAAAGTGATTTCCCCTCAGTACCTATGGAAATAATAAATAATCATAAAACAAAAAATCAAAACAATTATTCTATGAAATCCAATCCCCTTGGTTCTACTTACAGAATTATGGTCCCTAGCTTATTGCTGGGGTTCCATTAGCAAAATCATTGAAGTAGCAGCTCTATGTTTTAAGGCTGTAAAAACCCCTCGCATTCATTATACACTGTAGGTACACTGTAAAAGTCAGCTGCAGAGGACACTGCGCTGAGGGGCAGGAGCAGGACTGAGGGCTACAGGAAGACAAGAGAGAGACCAGAGAGAGACCAGAGAGAGACCAGACAGAGGGACCAGACAGAGGGACCAGACAGAGGGACCAGACAGAGGGACCAGAGGTGAAACTTTAGTGAGGGACCACTGTATACGTCGACCCGACTTTATGTTTCGCTGAGTTATTACCTCATTCGTCATGTAATGCATCTTCCACTGCTTTCTCCACATGCTGCTGTTTGTCTGAGTTCCAACTCAGATAAACTGTACGATCATCAAATGTACTTCCAACAATAATCCTGCCTCTAAACTGTGTGTACTCTGGCCTCTCAAAAGCCCTGTTTCCACCAGCCCTACTCTGCTTTGCTTTTTATTCTACTCTGCCCTGATTAGGACTGTTTCCACCGACCCTGTTCAATCGGTACCAGGTACGTTTTAGTACCTACTCAACCCTGATTCTATACAGGCCGAGCTGGTACTAAAGTGTTCTAAAGCCGTGTTTCCGCCAGCCCTACTTGGCCCTACTCTACTCAACTTTACCTGGTTGTGTTTCCATGATGCTTTAGTATCTAGTACCATATCCTGGATTGACCAGAGTCCCGCTGGAAGCCATGGTTATCAACACATTTCCCTGGATACTGGTTTGTTGTAGGAAAGCTGTTAGGATATGGTACCAGATTCTTAAGCATAATGGAAACACAACCAGGTAGAGTAGAGTGGAGCAGAGTAATGTACAACAGAGTAGAGTAGAGTAGGGCTGGTGGGACCGGGGCTTAAGTGGGTTACCGTCGGCCGGTCCGCTGCCGTCTTTCTGGTTCACGCTCTTCTTCCGCCGGTGCTTCTTGCGGTCGGTCAGAGGAGATCCAGAACCCAGGTCTTTAGTGGAGGAGGAGCTGGACACGCCCTCCACCGCAGAGTCTGGGAGGAAGGCACAGGACAGGCCTATATTACATCTGTCTCTGTCGTCCACCAGGGAGAGCAGTCGTACTAATACTCCACGTTAGAAGCAGTCTTTGGAAGTATTTGTACTCTTTTGAAGTACATGTTTTGGCTACTCCACCCACCTCTGCCTTTGGTGTTGTGCTACCTGTCGTTTTGTTTTGAGCACAAAGTGAACTTGTATGTCCCCTCGTATGTTGCAATTCTGGTTCTTAAAGGTGTAGAGCATGCAGACGGCGCTCACCGACACTGGGCGCGTGGTTGGACACATTGGAGCCGCATCTCTGAACGCCGCGGCTGTTCCTCAGAAACAGAGCGCTGCCCAGCTCCATCTCCTCCATCTGTAGAAGACTGCTGGCGGTCAGCGGTACTGCAGCCAGGACAAGGACAGACAAGGAAGATTTTACTTTAAAAGGTTGTTGAAAATGAATCTGAATCTGTTTACCCGAAGTGACAGGTAACAGGTCAGTCTTAAATCTACAGCCTCAGTCCTGGATCTGTAGCCCCAGTCCTTGATCTACAACTTCAGTCGTCTGCAGCTTCATTCCTGTATCTACAACCTCAGTCCTGGATCTACAGCCTCAGTCCTGGATCTCCTGGTCCAGGATGAGTGACTGATCACAACATTGTCCTTTTTTGAACCTCTCCACCAGGATAAACTGACCTAAGCCTTGCTCTGCTGCCTGTGGGTCCTTGGTTTTCCCATTGAGCCCTGGTCCTGGTCCTGGTCCTGGTCCTGGTCCCGGTCCTGCTCCAGACTGGGCCACCGCCCGAGGAGGACGCTTCCCAGGGACTTTGACCGTGACACGCAGGAGGTCCATCTCTTTCCCTGGGGCGTTCAGCATGTAATCCTAACACAAAGATAAGAAATGAGACAAACCAAAGAGGTAATTGAAAACTAATATGTCTGATTGTTTGTATGTGTCTGTAGTTCTCCCGGAGCTGACTCACGTTGACGCTGGCGTGGTACGACAGGATCCCGTCACTGGTAAGGGTCACATACTTCTTCTTCCACTCTTTGTTCAGAGAGTTTCCGCTGCGCTTCAGTAATATGCCCTGAGGAAAAACAAATACTGTTTCATCTGCACCTGTGAACTGGTCTCTCCCAGCCTTGACTGGCAGGCTGCAACCTCCCCACCTGGGAGCATCATCAGTCCTACACTGCACAGCCTCAGTCCTGGATCTAAAGTCTCAGTCCTGGATCTACATTCTGAGTCCTGGACCTAAAGTTTTAGTCCTGGATCTACAGCCTCAGTCCTGGATGTACACCCTGTGCGTCTGTGGGAGCCAATCCCTGTCTCAATATGGGTCTACCCAGGATTCTAAAATACTACTTAGAGTGTTAGAGTGATTCCTTGCTGATGCAAGAGGGTCTAAGGACAGTGATCTCTGTACACTTGTCATTCTGCTTCTTCAGGACCAGTGGCTCCTGTGTTCAAGTTATTGATTCTCAAAAAGGTCCTTGGCGAACCGACAACTTTTTAAAGTCCTCTGAGACAACTGCTATTGTGATTTAGGGCGATTTGTGCATGTGTATGTTTGGTGTCACTTTGGTTTTATTTGTAACATTCAGTTCAATAAATTCGTCAAAACTCTTTCAAACTCTCTGTGCTTTGGATTTAACACGTCTGGAAACTAGAGCCACAAAGGCCTCCTGCCAAGTCTTCACAAGCCCCATGTTATGTCACATCTCTGCTGCTGAGGGTCGGCCCTAGTGAGTCCCAGTCAGTCCAAGTCAGTCCCAGTCAGTCCAAGTCAGTCCAAGTCAGTCCCAGTCAGTCCCAGTCAGTCCCAGTCAGTCCATGTCAGTCCCAGTCAGTCCAGGTGAAGGGCGGTCTGGAGATCTCACCTGTTTGATGGGGATACAGCGTCCACTGCCCAGACTGCTGTCTGCGCTGCGTCTGTTGGAGTCACTGCCTCTGCGGCCCTGCACCCACACAACACACACAGGGTTTACGGAAAAGGCTGATTTGAACATAAGCTGGTCAATTTCCCTATATGGGCATTTGTTACGACAGCGTTCGCGTTGCACTGTAACAGGGGCAGACGTGTTGCAAAGATGGTTGCTAAGTCAAGCTGGTGTTTCACCTCTGAATGAAGGCATCTGATTGGTCAAACCATATACGGCTTATATCTGAATTTTATCCTTCGATGTTAATTCCTATCATTCAAAAGCAGAATTCACTAATTTTGCTATTTTTTATTTTTTTCTAATGATGGTTATTTATTTGGTTTGCGGAAGCACATAGAATGTATGCAGTTTCAACAATTAGAACTAGAAACTTGCAATGGCTGAAGCCATTGCGATTGACTGCGGAACAGATCTAATGTGGAAATCTGCTAAAAAAAATCCTTGAAATCCTTTAAAAGGCCTTGAAACTGTTAAAATACTTGATAGATATTTGAAACTCCTGAAGTCCTTGAAATTGTTGAAACCTTTAAACTCCTGAAATCCTTGAAACTGTTGAAACATTGAAACTCCTGAAATCCTTGAAACTTTTTTAAACCTGGAAACTGTTGAAAGTGTGGAAACTCCTGAAATCCTTGAACCTCCTGATATCCTTGAAACTGGTTAAATTCTTAAACAGTTGAAATCCTTGAAACTACTGAATGTATTGAAAGTGTCCTTGAAACTGAAAAATCCCCTCACCGCTGAAACAATTTGGTTCCTGTAACTAAGGAAACCTGGTCTGTGGTCATTATCTGGTGGTGGTCTGAGTCTTCGTTTGGGTCTTGGTCTGGTGGTATAATGCAACCTATTAGGTTGCATTATACTGGTTTACATGGAAAAATCCCTATTAAGTTGCATTATACTGGTTTACATGGAAAAATCTCTATTAAGTTGCATTATACTGGTTTACATGGAAAAATCCCTATTAGGTTGCATTATACTGGTTTACATGTACAAATCCCTATTAAGTTGCTTTATACTGGTTTACATGTAAAAACCCCTATTAGGTTACATTATAGTGGTTTACATGTAAAAATCCTTATTAAGTTGCATTATACTGGTTTACATGTAAAAACCCCTATTAAGTTCCATTATACTGGTTTACATGTAAAAACCCCTATTAAGTTCCATTATACTGGTTTACATGTAAAAACCCTATTAAGTTGCATTATACTGGTTTACATGAAAAAAACCCTATTAAGTTGCATTATACTGGTTTACATGGAAAAATCCCTATTAAGTTGCATAATACTGGTTTACATGGAAAAATCCCCATTAAGTTGCATTATACTGGTTTACATGAAAAAAACCCTATTAAGTTGCATTATACTGGTTTACATGGAAAAATCCCTATTAAGTTGCATTGTACTGGTTTACATGGAAAAATCCCTATTAAGTTGCATTATACTGGTTTACATGGAAAAAAACCCTATTAAGTTCCATTATACTGGTTTACATGAAAAAAACCCTATTAAGTTGCATAATACTGGTTTACATGGAAAAATCCCCATTAAGTTGCATTATACTGGTTTACATGAAAAAAACCCTATTAAGTTGCATTATACTGGTTTACATGAAAAAACCCTATTAAGTTGCATTATACTGGTTTACATGGAAAAAACCCTATTAAGTTGCATTATACTGGTTTACATGGAAAAATCCCTATTAAGTTGCATTATACTGGTTTACATGGAAAAATCCCTATTAGGTTGCATGATTACACTGAAGTCCTTGAAACTGTTGAAACCTTGAAACTGTTGAAACCTTGAAACTGTTGAAGTCCTTGAAACTGTTGAAGTCCTTGAAACTGTTGAAACCTTGAAACTGTTGAAACCTTGAAACTGTTGAAACCTTGAAACTGTTGAAACCTTGAAATTGTTGAAACCTTGAAACTGTGGAAACCTTGAAACTGCTGAAGTCCTTGAAACTGTTGATGTCCTTGAAACTGCTGAAGTCCTTGAAACTGCTGAAGTCCTTGAAACTGCTGAAGTCCTTGAAACTGTTGAAGTCCTTGAAACTGTTGAAGTCCTTGAAACTGTAGAAATGTCTGAAAGAGCTGAAGTCCTATTAAAATGCATGGGCCTATTAAAATGCATTGCAGAATTCTCAATGCAAATTAATGGCAGAATTCCCAAGCCCGTAGAAAAAAACTGGAAAACTGCAGAACTTTTTTCTGAAAACTCACAAGTTGTGGAAACTGAACATGCACAAACTGCAGAAAATGCTGAAAATGTTGAAGAAAATTCTGAAAACTATGAATTTGTGGAAGCCCCATTATAAGTCAATGGGAAAAATCGACCGATTTTTGTCCGATTGCGGAAAAACCGGAAATCGCTGAAGTCCCAAAAGTAATAGCAATAATCTCCCAAACATGTGGAACGTTTTGATGTATAACTTGTGGAAATTGTTGAAAATGTGAAAGCTGTGAAACGTGTCAAAAATCAGGAAAAAGACGGAATAAAGAACACCAAAACCAATGGTTGACTGCGGAAGGTTCCGCAGTCAATCAATAAAGTGCAATAGTCTACATTACAATAGAGTAATAAACATGTCACTACAGTGAGGGAGATGGACACAGACCAAAACTATTGTTTGTTACAGGGATGAGTATTGGACATTTCAAAAATGTCTGAAATGCATAATGTCAGCCAATGGCTGTCATTAAATCTGTTCTTCACAACAATTTACTTTTGGGCACAACCAACATGAGCTGTTAATGCAAGGGAAAATTTTGGACTGTTTCTTGCAGAAAAACGAGATGTTTCATCTCTAGGGGCTTATCCTCCAAACAAATAAATAAAGGCGCACAGGTTACGCAAAGACACACACACAACAAGCAGAGTATGGTCCTGTGTGCAGGCAGATCAGCCAAAATATGGGCATCGGCCCTTTGGGCATTGCCTGGTACACCCGATGGCCGGTCCACCCACTAATAGAGAGCGTGAGCAGGGTTTAGACCATCGTGAGACAGGTACGTTTTACCCTAGTGATGATGTGTTGTTGCAATATCACAAAATCAATCCTGCTTAATATCACAATATCACAATATCACAATTCATACACCAGGATCACAGAGAGCTCTTAAAACGTGGATTTCTAAACCCAAAAGGGTGAGTGTGACACAAACGGTTATTGAGCAAGAGGAATTTACTTATTCATTTAAGTCAGTATAGGAGCCAGAGCTAAATGTCGCCCATGAGCACTTCCTTATTGGGCTTCACTGAGGGACCATGCTAGCATTGTCCATCTTTATACAGTCTATATTCATCACCGACATCAAGACAGGCCCTGATAGAAGCCAACAGTAAACAAAACACTCAGAGAGAACCCATTTCACGCTGATGTTTGACACAAATGAAGTTATCCCAGAGTTTTACATTTAGAGGCTGCAGCTGTTCCAGTCTGAGGATAATGGAGCTGCTTTTATGAGCGGCTTCAGACTTCATTAGCTTAAAATACTGTCATTTGAATAAAAGCTCCGTCCGCCGCAGTCCTGAGAGATCGGCCACTTTACTCTACTCTACCCTACCCTACCCTACTCTACCCTACTCTACTCTACTCTACTCTACTCTACTCTACTCTACTCTACTCTACTCTACTCTACCCTAGCCTACTCTACTCTACTCTACTCTACTCTACTCTACTCTACTCTACCCTAGCCTACTCTACTCTACTCTACTCTACTCTACCCTAGCCTACTCTACTCTACTCTACTCTACCCTACTCTACTCTACTCTACTCTACCCTAGCCTACTCTACTCTACTCTACCCTACCCTACCCTACCCTACCCTACTCTACTCTACTCTACTCTACTCTGCTCTACTCTACTCTACTCTACTCTACTCTACTCTACCCTACCCTACCCTACCCTACCCTACTCTACTCTACTCTACTCTACTCTACTCTACTCTACTCTACTCTACCCTACCCTACCCTACTCTACTCTACCCTACCCTACTCTACTCTCCCCTACTTGATTGCGTTTCCATTACGCTTTAGTATCTGGAACCGTATCCTGGCAACCTACCCACAACAAACCACTATTCCTGGAAATTCCATGGTAACTTTGGCCAATCACTGTAATTTAGAACAGTTCTACCAGTTCGGCATGGATAAAACCAGGGCCAAGAGGCACAAAAGTAGGAGCTTGTACCGGTTAAACAGGGCCAGTGGAAACACAACAATTAGAGTAGAGTAGTTTTTAGCTCCATCCATGCTCATATCAGGAACTTCTGGTACAAACATGTAGCCCCGCCCCTTCTAATATGAACAGGGTATTATCTGATCGAAGGCACACAGTTGGAATGAATGAAGTGGATTGGATGCTAGCGTAAGAAGTTTAAAAACAAGCGTGTAGCATAGACTGTATACAGATGGACACCACTTATCCGCTAGCGCAATGAAATCCAATAGGGATGTGCTCATGGACGAAGTTTTGACTCCTATTGTCCCTATAGTTTGTGTTACACTCACCATTTTGGGTTTAAAAATATATCGTTAAGCGCTCTCTGTGATTGTGGGGTTTATAATGTGGGATTGTCTTTGGAAATCCAGATATGAACCATGAAAGAATTAACTAATCAGATGACTTCATTCGCAAGGGAAATTCCAGCTTGCCTTAGCAACTCATCTGCCTCCACGGTACAAGCATATGCCAATGAGCACTCGTTGATTTGAATGGGCAGACATCTTGGGTCTCTGGGGCTTGGTATGTTCTCCAAGGTAGGGATGTAAATCGGCGACCGTTTAACCGGTGGTTGACCGTCACAGCGTTAACCGGTCAAAGCTGTCGGTTAAAAAAGAGAAAAAGGGGAGAGGGGAGGTCTCTTAATAACGCTATTTTAAGCCCTATTTGCACGGTGTGACGAGCGGGTCTGTCTCTAGCTGTGTGCGCCCATGTATTATAAACTCCGGGACGACTCTCACGCCGCACGAGCCACATGCACACACGCGCGCACACACACACACACACACACACACACACACAAACACACACACGCACGCGCGCGCACACACACACACTTTCCCCCTCTCCATACGTAACATCCACACGCATCATCTCTCCCCTCTGTTACCGTCAAAGTTGCACACTGGCGCGGGTCAGAACTACATTTGAGCTTACATTTACACACACACACACACACACACACACACACACACACACACACACACACACACACACACATACACACACACATACCGGTCTGTCGCGCTCCTCTGTGTCACGGAGCCCAAAGGATTCGCGCAAATACGCGGCTCCAGTCAAACCACATGGAACATGTTTGTGTTTATGGTCCTCGGGATCAGCTCCACACACATCACTTGTATTTAAACTTTTGTGAAGACCTGTGAGACGCGGCTCGTCACTCGCTGCTCTGACCATGTGAACGAGCCGTCGTTTGCTGCTAGAAAGTTTTGGTATTAACCCGCAGCACAGCAGAATGGGAAGATTAAAACAGCAGTTCTCTGTGCGCAAAGGTGCCGGAGCTGTTGCGGGTTTGGGCGCCGCTGTCTCAGCTCTGATCCAGTAGAACGCAGAGCTGCACTTATGAAAAGTACGCGGCTCGAAATGGCTGTTATTTCAAAGAACGTGGACTATTTTAAACTACGCGGTTAACCGGTTTCAACCGGTTAATGAGGCTCGGTGGTCGGTCATGAAAATTCATAGTTTTTTACATCCCTAATCCAAGGTCAATAATATAAAATGTCACTTAAATGTTAATGAATCCACTCTGTTTGATGAGTGCATTTGTGTCTCTAACAAAGTGAATTTCATAATCTGAGACATCGCTAACATTGGGAAAGAGCAGGCAGCAGCTTTGGGCCCCAAACCTGGAGGGGCCTCATTGATCTTTTACAATATGTGGATAGGGTTTTGCTAGCTGAAGCCTCTCTCCAGTACGTGGCCCTGTGGAAGTAGCACCACAAAAGTTCTATGTTTCCGCTGATTGAATTGACTTGAATGGGCCATCTTGGAAACTCTGGGTTTGACGGGCCCCAGTCAAGTGTCCTTCATGAGACAAAGTGGATCCTTATAATTAGTCTGATAAATAGGCATGTTTTATTTGTATAGCACAGTTCATACAAAAGGCAACACAAAGCTCTGAACAAAACAATTAAAGAAAGTAATAATAGTAGTGATAGTAATAGAAGTAATAACCACAAATTATCATAAATAATCACAATACGTTAATAAGAGTCCTGCAGTTGTATGCACAGCGAAACAGAACAGTTTTTAACCTGGATTGGGACATTGTCAGTCTGTCTGACATTGGTGAGTCCTCCTTGGTTCATATGACACAAACATGTCACAGATGTACTTTGGTGCGAGGACATTGAGAGACTTGTTTACATGCAGAGCTTCTTTAAAGTCTATTCTCTGAGCCACAGGAAGCCAGTGCAGAGACCTGAGACCAGGACTAAAGTGAGTGGACTTCCACGGTTTCGTCAAGACTCGAGCTGCAGCGTTTTGAATATACAGCAGCAGATAAGACACTCCTTTGTTGTGTCCCACAGGAAAGATTTGTCTCGGGACTCTCATATTATTCTGCCCTATGTTCCCTCTCGCGCCCTGAGTTCGGCAGATCAGCTGATGCTGGTGGTCCCTAAGACACAGCGTAAGCTTCGTGGTGACCGAGCTTTTTCTGTTGCAGGTCCATGTTTTCTTTGCAATCAGTTACCCATTGAGATTAGACAGGCTCAGTCTCTACCCGTTTTTAAGTCACTTCTTAAAACTCATCTTTTTTCACTTGCTTTTGATAATGTCTGATCTTAGGTATTATTAAGACAAGATAAGATAAGATATTCTTTATTTATCTCACAAGGTCTCACATGTATTTTTTAGTCTAATGTGTTTCAGTTCAGCACTTTGGCTGAACTGTAAAGTTTTTAAAGTGCTTTATAAATAAAGCTGGTATGGTATGGTAGGTAAACACACGCTTTCTACAGAGACCATAAATACACCAGGGCCAGTGAAAAACAGATTTGTTAAGCTCAGTTTTCATGTGTTTTTCTGCGCTCTCAAGAGGAGCTAGTTTATTGCTACTATAAACATTATTTGATCGTCAAACCAAACATCTATTATTGGCCCCCAGACTGTGATTCTCCAGGGGCCCCTCACTCCTCATTCCGGCCCTGCTTATACAAAGACTGTGCTTACCGCAAACCTGGGAGTCCTCCTGCGGGTGGCGCTGCGGATGGAGCCAGGCGTCTCGGCTTTCACCGTTTTGCCGATGTCTTTGTGGCTAATGACCGGAGTGGAGGGCAGCGACGACGAGTAGTCACTGCTCTGGCCCCCGTTACTCGCCTGAGACACGACACAACAGGACGTTTTAAAACAAACTGAAATAACCTGGGTTTGGGGCTGGAACCTAAATGTGCCTAACTCCACCAGCCATACTCGTGCCGTGGCACACCTTTGTCATCGCAAAAAATCACATGGCACACCACCAACTGAAGTTGAAAAAACAAGACCAAAAGTTTGGACACACTTTCTCATTCAATGAGTTTTCTAGCTTTTCATGAATATTGACTGTAGATTCACACCCAGGCTGTGTAAGGGCTGTTTGATCAATATATATTGATCAAACAGCCATATATATATATGTATATGTATACAATATATATACAATTTAAAAATTATTATTATATTATTTATAATAATACAAAATTTAAAACTCTAAAGCCTTTATTAACAAAGCAAATTCATTCTCATCAATTGTATTATATATCAAATAAAACAAGCACAAAACATGTTCTAATCATCACATTATTTCCTTTTCAAATGATTTGGACCAAGCAGGTAATATTGGATCATTTCCAAGGCACATTAATAAGCATCTCAAGGCACACCAATGTGCCACGACACACTGGTTGAAAAACACTGCTCTGCTCTACTCTACTCCAGCCCTGTTTAACCTGTACCAGGTCCTTCTTCAGTCCAAGCAGATACTAACTAAAGTGTTCTTATTGACAGCGATTGGCCAGAGTGCTGCTGGAAGCCACAACCAGGTAGAGTAGATTAGAGTAGAGCAGAGCAGAGATACCCCAGCCATAATCATTGCATAAATAGTCTGTCTATGTGAGAGATTTTGTCATTTTCTTTTCCCATGAACATAAAATAGGGGGTTTCTGTCATCCACAGACTCATAGAGTGATTAGACTTGTAGTAATTACCATAAATTTGAAATGAAGCCTTTATCAAACTATATCTCTATGGGGAAAACGAACAAAGTATAAACCCAATACAATTTCAGCAGCACAAAGTACTCAGTCGAGGGATTCCAGCTCTCTGTAATAATAAACAGCAGTAATAATGTATGTGTCTATGCAAATGTGTTGAATAAAAGATGGTATAGAGAGTGCGGATGCTGGGAGGAGGGGAGCAGATGGTCGTACCTGCCCAGGGAAGCCTCCAGACACTGGGGTGGAGCCTCCGGAGTGAGTAGGGGACGTGGGCAGTGACTTACAGGTTGCTGCCAAAAGAGCCGCCTGCTTCTTCGCCGCCATGATCTTCTGAGCAGCTGCGGAGAGACCAGATTATGAAGTGCATGAAGCCAAGCGAGCAACTACTGCATGCAATCTAAATTTAAAAGCATAGCCTGTATACAGACGGACAATGCTATTGCTAACCTGCTAGCTCGATGAAGCCCGATAGGAAAGTGCGAGGTTGTGAGGTTTCGCTCTGGCTCCTATTAACTTACATGTAAAAGTAAACTCCTCCAGCTCAGTAACCATTTGTGTAACACTCATCATTTTAGACTTAGGCTGTGGTTTGGCGCTCTCTGTAATCCTGGTGTTTATATTAAAGAAGCTATACCCAATTTTTTTTCTAAGTAGTTCATAAACATGCTTTTTACTACATACAAGTTGTATCATAATACATCATTTAATTGAAAACTTGAGGTCATTGATTCAGCTGTGTAAGAATTACAAGCAGTGAAAAGTGCTGAGTAGAGTCTGAGCGGGACGCTCTTTCTCCTCCGCTCACAGAACGAGCAGCGAACAGCCTGCGTCCTCTAGCCTCTACAGCCTGCGTCCTCTAGCCTCTACAGCGCTGCTCAACACCAGGACTTCGACTTCAAAATTCGAATATAATTCTAAAATAAAAAATGATGAACAAAATAATTGAATAAAAAAATGTGAACAAATATAAGACAACCCTTGTAATTCGAAATGTATTTAATGACTGCAAATAAAATAGCTCCCAAAGGTTTCACCGGGACGTGCTAGGCAGGTAACAGCTAAGCTAGCTAGTTGTTTCATGGTAACTTCCGGGTTTTTCGCAATCGCTTTTTGTCACATTGAAACAGTATTTTTGTCATGAAAACGTTAACAGCAAATTCTGAAATCATCCGTGCATGTGTGTTAAGGATATATATGTGTACTGTATTGTCCGATTGACGTTTAATGGTGTTGATTGATAGATATGTAGTTGTTTATTGAGTGTGTAGTGACAGGTGCTGATAGCTTGTTGTACTTGCAGAGTAATGGCAGTATTTTACACACCTGAATTACAAACAGAGGTTGCATTGGGGCTTCGGTCATTATTGGTTTGAGAGTTCTGTTATCAAGAAAAAATGATCGGAAGAATTGCTGCTGCTGCTTTGAGGAGCTCTATAACAAATTATAATTAAATATTATAATATATTCTAAGGTTTTAAATTAATACATTCGGACGCGAAACTAGCGGTATTCTTTTACTTATATATTGTGTTAGCAGTGCGTTGCTTTAGTGCCATTTCATCAGTGATTGTTGCACAGCTTACAAGAAGTTGTGCTAATGCTAATGTTAGCATATGTATCAGATCGCAAATAAAACTAGGTGGCTCTGTGTTATGAGAGCGTAGGGGAAATGAGAAGCCATTGAGCGAGTTGGGGGGCGGTGCTAAACATTCAAACATTGCAGAAACGGGTATAGCGCCTTTAAGATGTTGCCTTTGTAAATACATATATGAGTCATATATGTTCAATATAAGGATTGACCAATCAGATGCCTAGATTCATAGGGAAAAAACTCAAACTTGCCTCAAGAAATGCCAATATTGGGATAATTGGCTCCAGCTAGTTCATGTTCCAATTGGCTTCTTCCGCATTAAGACTAACACTCTAATGGCGTCAAAATATAAGGATCAAAGAAAGCACTAAACCATAGATTTTTTATATGGTCAATGTGACTTTTACATGTAAGTCAAAGCAAATTGGCACATTATTGGACTTCGTTGAGCTAGCGAGTTAGCATTGAGCTACTGGTTTAGCAATGAGTGAGCATTGTCGATCTATAGTCTATGGCTAAGACTTAGTGAACATGGCAATAACAAAACCACGTTGGAGCAAAACGCCTTTAAAACCCAGGCATTTACAAATATCTCCACAGACTAATCCACTTTAAAAACCCAGATGAAAGTCTTGGTACCGTCGTTGAAGACACGGTTGACGTTCAGTCCGTAGGTGGCGCAGGTCTCGTAGTAGGTGCACCGTCGCACGTCAGAGCATAGCTGCCGCGCCTTCACGTCGTCGATGACTCTGGGGTTCACACTGCTGATTTTATCTATGAGGAAACACACAGAGTATGAGGAGTTCAGGGGCTGTCTTTATTATGTGTGACCCAGAAATGTGTTCTTGTGTAAGTTTGAAGTATAAATAGACACAATAGTGCATTTGCAGAGATAAAAAACATTCAAAAGTAACATTCTGGAAAGAAAGCAGAGGCAACGATACATATAAATCATATCATAATGGACAATAAATAAATAGATATATATCCTCCTGCTGTGGTCCGGCTCAGAGACTGTCGAAGAGCACCAGAACTCCTCGTCTGCTGTAGCTCGCTCTGGCCAGACACACCCTTCCCTCGGACAGGGCAGGGACTGGTCTGACTCCTGCTGCTCAACTCGTATCAGTACTCGGTATCGGCAAGTACTCAAATAAAGGTGGTAGCGGTGCATCCCTAGTACGAAAGTGTTCTAATGGGCAGCCATTGGCCAGGGTAGGGCTGGTGGAAACAGGACTAACGAAAGCAGAAACTCCTCTTTTGTTTCCATCCACAAAGCTGGGGTACCTAACTTTAAAACCACATCGTTTCATCACTCGTTTGCACATGCATCAAGCCCATTTTTGATCTCCGTCACTTCTTTAGATCAGACAGAATAGCACCAGCTCACTCAGCCAATCAACACTCAGTATATAAAAGATCAAATACGTTCTTTTGGTTAAAACAGAATGTTGTTCAAAGACAAGATCCGCGTTTTCAGTCTAAACAGAGCATAAAGGAGCCGCTCACCCTGAGTGCCCACCACCACGAAGGCGATGTCGCTGATGGGCCGGTGCAGCGCCAACTGGTGGTAGAACTTGTAAACGTCCTGGAAGCTGGATTCATTCTCCAGACTGAAGACCAGGATCACGGCGTCCACCCAGCCGGCAAACTGTGGGGGAGACACAAGTGGTCAGCAGGAGGTCAGCAGGAGGTCAGCAGGAGATCAGCAGGAGGTCAGCAGGAGGTCAGCAGGAGGTCAGCAGCTCCACCTTCTGAGCATCCTTACAGCAGTAGCAGTAGTAGTAGCAGCAGTGGTAAGAAAAAAATAATTGGTTTTATATAGAGCTTTATTATAAACACTCAAAGACGATTCACATGTCATTATTCTTCCACTCTATACACGGTGGTGATGAACTACTATTGTGGCCACACCTGCCCTGGGGCACACTGACAGAAGCAGGGCGACCAGTATGTGCCATTGCCCCTCCGACCACCACCAACAATTCACACACACACACCAGACTCTGGGCAATGTTGGTGAAGTGTCTTGCCTAAGGACACAATGACAGTTTGGCACTTTACAGCCACAGCCGCACCACTGTGGCACCATGGGTTCCCAAAGGTCTCCCATCACAGTACTAACCAGGCCCTGCCCTGCACCGCTTCAGAGGTCTGATGGGATCTGGCTTTTTCATGCAAGTAGTAGCAGGAGCAGCAGTACCTGTGGTCCTGGCAGCTCGGTCTCCTCTCTGATGATGAGCACATGGCTCTGTCCGTCCACCTGAACGTCTTTAATGCACTGACGTCCTGCGACACAAACAGGTTTCAGCAAAATCAACGTTTCTCAAGTTTTGTTCAAATCCTTTTTTTTAGTTATTTTTCCTCTGACCTTCTGCGCTCTCCAACGGCTGGTAACTCCCCGTCATGTGTCGATGAACCAGCGCTGTTTTACCACTGCACAGACTGCCCAACACCCCCTAGAGACACACACACACACACACACACACAGAAACACCACCATGTGATTAAAGGTGGGGTATCTAACTTTCAAAGCAAAAATGGAACTGTTATGTAATATTATAAAGCCCATGTCTTGTCCCTGGCTCTAAGACAGTTGCTTCTATCACTAGTTTCCACATGCATGTAGTTTGGCCTCTCTCACATTAAGATCAACTTTTTCAGACAGAAAAGTGAAAAAGAGAGAACCACCCTCACTCAGCCAATCAGCTCTCAGCCCAAAGAGTTAAATAGTGACTCCCTTTCTTACACAACAGATTATATGTTTTCTACTCAGATGTATGCTGTGGTCTGATCTGAACATTCTAATTTTACAAGACTCTTTCTGTTGAGTCAAACTACATGTGTTATTTCTGAAAAGAAGGTACCAGGTATGCTTTAAAACAAATGTAAAAGTATCATTCTGACCAAGTGTAGTTCTTGCAGCGGCAGCACGGTGGGTGCCATGGTCCACTCCTGACTGCTGGTGCAGGCGGCGGCTGCAAAACAAGGAGAGAAGAGCCATGAGGAATTTCATCACAGATTTAAACAGATTATGTCCTGTTACCTCCATCCTTCATGTTTAGGCCATGTTATTTGTCTTTTTATGCTGTTGTTTTTGTGATTTTGTGTCTCTCTCTCTCACTCTCTATCTGGTTTCTTTGTGGTCTCTTTGTGGTCTCTTTGTGGTCTCTCTCTGGTCTCTCTCTGGTCTCTCTCTGGTCTCTCTCTGGTCTCTCTTTTGTCTCCCTCTTGTCTCTGTCTGGTCTCTCTATGGTCCCTCTCTTGTGTCTCTCCTCTCTCTCTGGTCACTCTCTCTGGTCTCTCTCTGGTCTCTCTCTTGTCTCTCTCTGGTCTCTCTCTTTTCTCTTTCCTCTATCTCTGATCTCTCTCTTGTCTCATTCTGGTCTCTCTTGTCTCTCCATGGTCTCGCTGGTCCTGCGTGTACTGTGCCGTGACCTTAGAAGACTAATTTTAAGAGTGGGAAGTTTGTTTTGACCCTTTTCTTTTGTTCCTATCTTCTCAGCTGTGAAAAGCCAACATAAGTCCTAACAACACGGCAACCTTTCCTGCTGTCGTCCCGGGTCAATGCCGCTTTTCAACACAGGTCAAAAACACGAGAACCACAGAACTCACCAACACAACCTTAGCTTCTCATAAACACTGTTTTTGGGTCAAACATTAAATTTTTCAGAATTAAATTATTCAATTCAATTTCAATTCAATGTATTCTTGTATAGCCCCAAATCACAACAGTAGTCATCTCGGAGGACTTAACAAAACCGTTGATTTCGCCGACACAGATCAGAGAATGACTGCAAAACTACTACAGCCATTGGTCCATAAGAGGCAGATGACCACTGTACATAAATATTGATAAATGTCCATAGATGTTGTTAAATGTTGAGTGTCCTGAAAAGTCACCAGTGTCCTTTGACCCTCCTGCATCAGCAATACAGAAAACCATTGGGAAAAATGAGAAACCTCAGGGAGGCCCACATTGAGGGAGGGATCCGGACGGGCTAGAGATCCAGGACTCAGGCTGCACAACGAGGACAGTCTGAGGCCACGCAGTGCAGGACTGAGACAGGACACAAATGCAGCGTGTCTTTAGCTGTGGCTCAAAATGCCACACAATCCTCATCAAACTCTGGAGACACCGACAGAGACTCCCAAGACTTTTACACATGTTTGATTTTCTACAACCTTTAATTATTCATGGGCAGAGAGCAGAGCGGCGCGGTCTCATTAGTGTGATTCTTGATGCTGTTTAAAGAACCAGCGTAAACATGTGAGTCGGACAAACAGTGACGCTGTTTTATTATGAGAAGAACATCTACTATATGTATATTATAAAGAAGTACATATATACTTTACACATTATTTAGTAGTACATATATACTATATATATGATATAGTAATATACTATAAGTACAAGGATTCCCAGAGCAGTCATTTTCACTGCTGTCATTCAAACCAAGGGGACAGTTTTAGTTTTCCACACATTTTATCATGAATACGTTCTATATTAGGTTTCAACTTTTACTAAGAGCTAAAACTGGTGAATATAACTTGAAATACAAAAACAATTACCCACTAAGCAAGCCGACGTTGAATCAACGTAATTTGAACGTCGTTGTCCGACGTAGAATATAGGTCACTGGTGGGTGCAGAATGAAAGTTTTCTCGACGTCGTTTCCCGACGTCACTTCAACCTCCAAATGTAACGTTGATGGCACGTCAATTCAAGGTTTGAATGTGGTACGGAACCGGTCGGGTCTGACGTCCTATCAACGTCTCATATGACCAAAATATTGACGTTTATATGACGTTCGTTTTCAGTCGTTCCCACTAAGCAAGCAGATGTCAAAACTATGTCATTTCAACGTCATCTGGACGTTCATTCAAGGTTGCAATGTGGTACAGAACCGGTCGGGTCCGACGTCCTATCGTCTTATATGACCAAAATATTGCCTTCATATGACGTCCATTTACAGTCCTATTGATCTACTTAACCTCTGCAGAATCACTCACTGGTCGAGACATACTTTTTGCAATAGGCAAGGCAAGTTTATTTGTATAGCACAGTCAAAACAAAAGGAAACTCAAAGCACTGAACAAAAGATAGAAACAATCAAACAAGGCATTACAATTATAAATATTGACTGTAAATTAAAAAGAAACAAATAAAATCTCTCATAAAATCTCTCAGTTGAAGCAGAAACAGAAGTGTTTTAAACCTGGATTTTAACATTGTCAAAGAAGAAGCCTGTCTCACATTTCCAGGAAGACCGTTCCAGATTTTAGCCTTGTGTATCTGAAATGCAGCTTTATCATGTTTAGTTCTGACTCTGGGCAATAAACGATAAACACAGCATTCAAAAATCATTAGAACAACTGTAGTAGAAGGATATCAGTCATTATTGCAAATGGAGCTGCATTAAAAATCATGTTTCTCTACATCAAAGTACAAGTTAAACCACACAGGGCACAGTGTTATGAACACTACTGTACTGAACAGTTCATGCCAAAGTAAAAAAACATGATTGTAGCGCCTATGTTTGGATCAGTATTAAAACAGGCACAAGCTACACTCTAGGTTCCCCAGATGTAAAAACACAATCTGAAAGGCAGAAGAATGCATTTATAGAATGTTGAGGTTCCAACATGTGTCCTCTCTTGGTCTTCAGTCTCATTATAAGGTCCAAGCACAGCACCTGAAAATGTGGAACATGTTTAGTTTCAACATAATGTGGCAAAGTGATATAACAACACATAACTTTCTATTAATGCCTCAAACCACTCGATCCATCACCATGTGATACAAACCTTGGCACTGCACTAGCTCGAGACACTGGAAGACACTCCGTCTGAGAAACTTGGGATAAGGCTTTGGTCATTGGAGTAATTCCATGTAAAAAACAATTGCAAATGTGCATTTGTTTTGCACATGGACACAAATGAGCCCTGAAAGCTACTTACCCTGTATTACTCTATATGTTGCATTTCCGAGGGGGCATTTTCCCCTTGTTGTTCTTTTCCCTCATCTTGAGTGAGTTGCTGAACAATCTGAGAAAAAGATAGATGTTTTCAAAGAGAATACACCAAATAATGGTTTATTCTAAAAACAACATATTAATACAGAACAACAATCAATGTGTGAGAGTGTGATTCTTACCTTTGAACACCTTCAACACAGTCTGACACCTGTAAGACTCAAACACACAGAACATTAGTTATTGCAACAATCATGAAATTATACTCTATGGATTTCACAATAATTGACTGCATTAGCAAAGGTAAATTTATTTTAATTAACATATGGCTGGTTTTAAAGTTTATAAGAAAAAGTAAGAAATTGAATAGAGTTGCAAGCGCTAGTTAGCTTGCTACCAGCAGATGAATGGATATTTAATATTTGCAGCTAACAATAACAAAAATAACAACTGTAGTGGCTCATTTAAACAGCCACAGTGAGAAGAAGTGAAAGTCTCTGACATTGAAGACCTGGGAAGACATTAAATCAATTTATTAAACAAAGCAATACATGAACATTAAACTCTCTTTCTGCAGCAGGTAACATCTGTGTGCTCCTATGGTCCCACATGGTCCCACACCTGAACTCAACTCCAACTGATGACATCACAGGTGTCTAAATGATGGGAGTGTCCCAAATAGTAAAGATGATCTCCCCGTTTTTAAACTTAGTTTACTAAGTACTGTTGTCTTTTTGCAGTTTATAAACCATTGTGAAATATACAGTAACTTTACATTTTAGAATTCAATTATTATTTTAAAACTCAAGAATCTTAACCTTTTTTAACACATACTTTGTTGGACAGTCTAACCTAAGAATTCTAATGTGTTAAAAATAGTTTGAAATATGAAAAACAATATCATATTTTAAACTTTAACTTAAAAACTAAAAAAAGGTGTCTCCCTTTCAGCTGAGCAGTGCCAGCCGTTATTATTATAGATTCATGCACTGGCAATTCAAAATACAGATAATATACAAAATATACTTAACAAAATCCACGTATACGTGAGAAAACAACTTACTTTCTGTCTCCAACTCTTTTCAATGTGGAAATGATACATCTATATCTAAAAACTGTGCAGACTGTGTACTTACTAGAGAGGGTGATTCCAAGTAAATAAAGCAGGGCAGCGACAGAGGTACAGATTCAACGTCATATCAACGTCTGGGAAGGCATTGCTTTACGTCCAGATGCACACCTTACGTCGTTTAGACGTGGAAAACAGGTCCTCGACCGAGCGACTCACGTGTCAGGCTGTAACCTCGCATAAGTGTGCGTCGGTTGTTTAGGGTGTTATCTATTATTTTTTCACAGTAGTCAGACAAAATGCCTGGCCGTGGTGTAGCGGTTGCGTAATGAGACTTCATTCGCAAAGACGCGGGTTCAAATCCCCGTCGGAAAACTTTTGAGTTTTCACTTTTTAGCGAACAATTTTTCTGTTTGGTTAAAAACGAATAAACACTCAACATAAGATTATGTAGTGGCTAATAATAAAACTTGTGAACCCATGCATTTGCATAAAATCTCAAGTGCTCACCCCTTATTTGCAAACTTGAGATTGTTAGCACAACAAATGCATACATTCACAAGTTTTATTATTAGCCACTACGTAATCCTATGTTGAGTGTTTATTAGTCTTTAACCAAACAGGAAAAAATTGTTCGTTAAAAATCAAAACAAATATATAAAGATAATAATACACACACATGGGCTTGAACCCACGTAACCAAGACTGAACACGTTTGCTTAACCACTACACTACCGTCAGGTTCACTTATATTGCTTCACAGCTTATATATTGTATTGCTAGATCAAGACGTACTGCGTCGGTCGGCCGATGACCTGTTTTCGACGTCTAAGGGGAGGTCGGGATTGAACGTCATATCTACGTATATGGGAGGTCATTGTTTTACGTCCAGATGCGCACCTTGCACAGACGTCGTTTGGACGTAAATAAAAGG